GTCAAACTGTCGCGAAGTGATTTCTACGAGTTTAAGGATCAGTGCTATTGAATATGAGCCGGATTAAAAGTCTGGTTTCCGAAAGCGAGTGGCAAAAATTCCCCTACGAAAAATCGTATGCGATTCTTCGTATCTTGTTTTTTATTTGACAAATTTCTTCACTAGTACACAGTACAGCTTTGATTTCTTTAATAAAAAAAAATGGGGGGTGTGTTTTTTGACAGCTGGTCATGTCACATATGACTGTAAAATTCAAAAATGCTATAACAAACACAATTTCCAAAATTCTAGCTAGTTCCAACCGCATGGGAAGTGACGAGGGGGGGGGGTAATTTGATTATCAGTCGTATCACCTAAAATTTGCACTGCAGATAATTGCACCTACTTTTTTTGTGTTGTTATGGTATCGTTTATATCATGACGTAACTGTAATCTATGTACTTATGAGTCGATTAAAAAGGTCATCGAATTGCGAATTACTGGTGAATCAGTAATATTTATACCGTCTTTTTTTTGTAAAATTCAAACCTGTTTCGCAACGTCGGCGGACGATTTCCATTTTTCTCGTATCTCGCGAGTGTCGTCGGTGTCGATGACGCTCGCGATCATCTAATTAACATTGGAAATTCAGCACGTTTCATTGAAAATGTCACAACCCGGAGATCGTTCGTACTTGGTTTATGACCTTACCGTTGTTGCTCTTCAGTTGATTGCACATTGACAATCCATGTACGGAGTGTGTCATTTTGCATATAATCCTGTTGTATATCAACTTTTTTCTAATTAACAAACGTGACTCCGCAACATCTGGCTCGAACTATTTGTAATTGTAATGATTGATCAGAGATCGGTATTTTCGAAATTGTTCGCAGACAATTTATGTAAACGATAATTCGCCAGGAATATCATATGTACATTCATTTACATTAATCGTCCATCGCCCCGCCGTAAAATTTCCACTATCTATAGATTATTTGATTCCCTCTTAAATCTACATACATAATTTAAGTGTATTTATTAAAGATGATAATTCCACAGCTACCCACGTCACGGTAAAGTCACGCCACATTTGTTTTTGTTAGAGCATTATGTAGAGTAGATCGCTTTTAATAGCAATGCTAATCGGGCGCGCTTATCTTATCAATTAACAATAATCAATATTTCGAAGTTGACAAAAAACGTTCGTCGTCATTTCAACTACGTTTTGCAGTGGTTTGCTGCCAATTGAGATAACGTAATTTAATAATAATAATCTGCGCGGATTATTATTGTGACCTTTTAAATAGTTGTTGGGCTTTTGTTATCGAATTTTTTCTGTTTCTATTACGTTCATTATTCGATAACTTAATCTCGAATTGTTTTTCTTCTGGGTGACCTATGGGTCTTTTTATCAGTTATGCGCATTTTGGGGACGTATTCCTGCAATTTGTACCCCGATCGACGCATATGATTATTGGCTAGAAGTAGCGTTTATTTTGAATGTTCTACGATTTAACTGTCTAACGCACCAATATTAATGTAATTCATCGACTCTGAGAGGACGTGGGTGCTAGATGCGTAGGCAGTTTTTTCACTATGTTTCCGTCAGCTTGTTTTATTGCTGTCGCTCGCCGCCGTCGCGTTTTCCCAGACGTGCCTACTACTACCGCAATCAAAAGTAGGAAAACCTCAAGGTGAAAACGTAATAGCCTTCACAATGGATACCATAGGAAGAGATCCATTTTAGGTAGGTATCAAGATCTTTTTAAATACTTCTAGATCCCAAGCGGCAAGCGGCCTTTCCAAACATCAAAAATCCCAAAAGAGATTTTCTCTTTGGGAAATCAAATTTTCTTGCAATTATTCCATCACAATACTAATAGGGCCCGTTAAAAAAAGACTCGACGCAAGGCTAATAGGAAATTGGCAACGAAAATGATCTCTAATTTTAAATCTAAATCTGTAGTGTAATGTTCTTAACCTTATTACTATGTTTAACAGCCCACATTCTTCTTTTTAGCGCATTTTTCCGAATGGGGAAGCTATTGTCCGAGGCTCTTTCGCTTCCAGTGGACAAATTGCATTTTAGTGCGCATGTTTTATTGGGAATCAATCCAAAGGATTAGAAAGTTGGACACGCTTGTTATTGTTTATTTTCCCTTCTATTAATGCGACCTTTTCGAATTAAAAAAAAACTCGTTTTATATCTACCACGTGAAACGGGTGTCCGAATCAGAATGGCACACGGTCGTACATCAGAAAGTAATAAATACTAGTCTGATAGGTACAGGTCAAAATTCATTTGTTCACCAATTTTGTCGGGGAAACGCCAAAACACATTAGACATTTGATGTTTGTTTGCTTTCTTTTGCGTTCAGTGTAGTTATCATTGAATTATCGTTATAAACAATGCAAAATGCACTACCATCGCTCGCACACATGCAGATTAGACGTATTGTTTAATAAAATGCAAAAAAATGCTGGAAATTATTTTTATTTTCTGCAATACTATCTAAAACTACATTGACTGTATCATGATAGCGTGGCGCTACAGTGGTATTATCTTCTATGATAGTAGAAGGTCCGCTATGTTTTGGAAGTCAAGGTGACTTAATCATATTGTTGAAAACTGGTAATAATATTATTTTAACCATAGATATTGATATTGCTGTACCCCACGTTGGGCATCAAATAATGATGTGTGAATGCGGTCAACTACACCACCCACAAAACACCCCTCCAGCTAGCTCAAACACACCAAAATTGAATCTTAAAAGTTACTCGCACACTTCCAGCATCTCCTACAAACAAAACTACTAATATTGATTGAAAACAAAACTACTAATATTGATTGACCTAAATTAATGATTTCAGAGGCTCATCAACTTCAGAAAGTTTTAAAGCATTAACGACACAAATTTTGATTAACTGACATGAAAACTACCCGGGTCGCACAAAGGATTCGCATAAACACACATTTGATTGATTGAAAACGACTAAAATTTATTCTGAAACACATGAAATGAAAAGTTGAAACAACATTCCTGAATGAAAGAAAAACTTGCAAAGCTTGTTTGGCAATAAAATTCATACAATAAAATAACACGCAATTACAAACAATTCTAAAAGGAAAATAATACTGAGGCCCAAATTCAAGTAAATTTTGTGCTTATTTGTAAACAATCTCCCCGATTTACACATAAATTGAAACATTCGCATATACAGGATGTCCCGTCATTATTTTTGGTGTTTATATCGAAATAACATGATAGAGAAAATATCGTTTTCCAGTTTTTAAGTACTCGTTTTCTCCCCTAGCGATGATCTATGAACTTAAGATCCTGACATTGCATTTGCGGTTTTTTAGACAAAAAATAATATTAAATTAACAATGAATCATTCTCAACTTATGTATTGTTGCGTAATGCGTAGTCTGTGTAGTACTATGCGATCAAAAATAAGTTGCTGTCGAGTCACCTTTGGAATTTTTGTTTATATGGTAAATCGTACTTAACTTGAACTTCCAAAGGCGACTCGACAACAACTCATTTTTGATCACCCGGTATTTACATTTAAAAAATATTTTATGATGAAATTGTGGTGTACAAACATGTTGGTGTCAAATTTGTATTTTTGGCAATGTTTGGGTGTCAAATTTCACTTTTTTGTAATTCTCGTGTGTTAAATTTTACTATTTCCCGATAGTTAAGTGGCAAATATCATTTTTTGTCAGTTTTCTTGCGTCTCAGTTTATTTTTGGCAATGATGGAGTATCAATTTTAATTTGGTTGTTATACTTCATTTTCTGGCGATTTTAAGTTGTGAAAGTTTTTTTGCAAGTATCACGTTAATTTTCTTTGGCTATTTTCCGATACCAAATTTTATTTTCTGGCATTTAATTGTGAACATTTTAATGCAATTGTTGGGTATATTTCATTTCTGAAATTTCCTTTGAATTTAACTTTCATGTTTGGCAATGTTTGGGTGTCAAATTTCCTTTTTTTTCAATTTTTGAGTCAAATTTTATTATTTAATTTATGATTTTTGAGCATCCATATTGTCAAATTTGATTTTTCTAAACATTCACAAAAATGTTTAAGGTCTTTAAAACCTACAGGAAAATCGCAGTAGATTTCCGCTGATATTCGTAGATGTGTATGGATATGTAATGTGTTTTAGTAAGATTACCAGAGTATGAACTTAAATTGAATGTTTGCTTTTCGGTATCATGCATAAATGCCCCAAGATATCAGGTGGATATCCATGGAGTTATACCTAAATGAATATTTGATTTGTTTTTGTAAGGTTCAAATGTGTTTGGTATTTTTCCGATGCCAAATTTTTTTTCTGGTATTTAATTGCAGGGTGTCAAATTTCATTTTTTGTCCAATTTGGTTTTTTTGACAATCTTTGGGACGTGAAATTTCCATTAATGCAATTTTCGGGTATTTTTTTTTATTATGATTTATTTGATTTTTGGCAATGGTTGGGTGTCAAATTTCAAGTTTATATTTCCGAGTGTCAAATTTTATTTTATGCATTCTTTTGGTGGAAAATTGATGTTTAGACGGCAATTTTCTATTGTAAAATTTTCTTTTTTGCAATTTTTGAGTGTCGACTTTCACCTTTTTGCAATTCTCAGGTGTCAAATGTTATTATTTCCCGATTTTTGAGTATCACGCATAGATGCCCTAACTAAGATATCAGGCTGATTTCAATGGATTTACACCTAAATGAATATTTTTATTACTAAATATGTTCAAAACCATGTCTATAGCATATTAACATTTTACCATTTCCAATTTTCTAACCAAATAAATTTACACATATATAAAAAGATGTGAATCTAATGGTGTTAACAGGACTATTGTACTCAAATTTTGGTCCACATCCGCAAGAATAGTAATTTACTAAAGATGGAGGGATTGGTTAAATGAAATGGGTTATATTAATTGAAGATGAGATTAATAATAATATTGTGGTATAAAAACTTTTGATTAAAGTGAACGTTTTGTTTTCAGATTTGGGTAGGGACAACGGCGTGGCCGGGACAAACAGTTTAAATGGAAACGGATACGGAGGAGGAGGTGGGAGCGCTTCTGACAGTAGCGACCAAATGGATTCAGACGCTAGGGCGCGAGAACTCGCCAGAAGGAAAGAGGAGGCCAAAAGGAAGCGGCGCAAAAAGAAGCGCACCGGATCGTCACTCGTTTCCTCCTGTTTTCAAGGTGAGCTACCATTTTGCGCTGTGAAACGCGACGCTATTTCTGTGTGTTTCAGACCTGTACAAGTTGACGGGAGAGATACTGGGCGAAGGTGCGTACGCCAGTGTGCAGACCTGTCTGAATATGTACACTGATCAAGAGTTTGCGGTGAAGATCATCGAGAAGGTTCCGGGACATGCGCGGGCACGTGTTTTTAGGGAGGTCGATACTTTTCATCATTGTCAGGGACATCCCAATATCATTCAGTTGATCGAGTTCTTTGAGGATGAGGAGAAGTTTTACTTGGTGTTTGAGAAGGTGATTATTGTTGTTTGCGCGTATATGAGATCCAATTTTCAATTTGCTTAAAGGTAAATGGTGGCCAACTGCTCAGGCGAATTCAAGAGCACAAGTTCTTCAGTGAGGCAGCCGCAGCCGAAATCATACAAGAGATTGCTTCGGCGTTGAGCTTCATGCACGGGAAGGGTATCGCACATCGAGATTTGAAACCCGAAAATATCTTGTGTGTGCATCCGGATCGACTATGTCCCGTGAAAATTTGTGATTTGGATTTGGGTTCCGGCATTCGCTTTCAAGCAAGCGTTTCCAGTCCCTTGGCAACACCACAACTATTAACACCGGTGAGTTAAAAACTGTTGAAACTTGTCATAACTTTACTGTCCTTCAATTAAGTATATCTGGTGTAAGGTTTAGGTGTGCAAAAAAATTAGTGGGGGTAGTAGTTTGAAATAAACAACTAAGAGTCTCAAATAGTCTGTTTGAGAGCCACATCCCCAAAAATCCAAATTGTTAGGAATCCTAAATACAAAAATAACCATTTCGAAATAATTCAAAAACTGTACAAAATATTCTTATAGTCGATAGCCCGAATTTTGCACAATCTTAAAGGCATTTCGTTTAATTGAAATTTGAGGTTATTGTTACTTATATTTCGTCATCCTTAAGTTCTCTGATCTGATCTGATCAGTTTCAGAAGTGACTTTTTCCCCTACTAAATTGAAATGTGCTCTGTTTAACGTGTATATTTAATAGTGAATGTAATAAAACTGGTAATAAATAATACAATTTAGTTCGACTTGTACACAAAATAAGCGACACTGTCATGTGGATACACTTTTGGAAGTGCATATAGCCTAAACTTTAATTTAGGAAAGAAGAACGTCGTAGAGATGGTTACATTTTGCCGTATTGACCACCGTATCGATCTCTTTGTACACTCGAAATGGGGAAACTCGGGGCACCTCTCGCATCTTCCATAGACCACATCTTTCGTATCGACCGCCGATTAACTTCGAACACCTTTTTCGTATCAACCGCCGACATTGTCAGTCTATCTTTAAACTTTTCCTCCAACTTTTCATCCAAAAAAATTCCTCGATGTGATGAGGTAGCATTCGCCTTCATTTTTGCATGTGTTGTAAATATTTATTATCTTAAACATACAAATAACCTAATGTCTAACTCTGATGAATTTTCCGTACTTACCATAGAATCGAAACAAAGTATACATACAATACATCGTGACTGAACTGAGTCACATTAAAAAAAAAAGTTGAGTGGAAGCGGCACCGGAAAGACGCGTGCCCAAAGTTACCGCAGTTACCCACTGTATCCCCTCATGAAGTATGCAGTAACATAACCTCACGTTTTGACGAAATTATGTGAACTTTGTATTAAGATCGTGGAAAATTTCGGGCTTCTGCCGCAAATTTTGTTGTTGAAAACGTTTAATGAATCACTTACGTTTTGTTGAAATCCCGTCCTGACTCTCGCAAATCCTTGCCGCAAGCGCCTCAATCTATACAATCCTTCTGAATCCCTGCAATCCCACCAAATTGTCCGCAATTCCTCCAAAATCTTGGAAGCCTAGGATTTCCGCAATCCTGAATCCATGTAGATTTCAGTGGTTACGTCCCTGGTCCTCTGTTGTACTGGTTCATTTTGATAAAGTAATAAAATACAGATTCATGTTTTTTTAAAAATAGATACATTGCTTTTTATATATATTTATTTTTAAATTTTCGCACTATAAGTTTCACAAAAACAATGTGTCAATCATGCTGTTTGGTAGTAATTAGTCCTTACCTTTGACATTTGTTTGTTGACGACTTGACGAGAATTAATTTCTACCTGTCATTCACTGTCATGATTTGTGGTCTCCTTACTTTGTTTTTCTGTAATTAAAAATTGATGGCCTTAAGCCAAATTTTGTTGCCATATTTATCGTTAAGTAGCATCTTTATCTCCTGATGTATCTATTTAAGTAAATAAAAAATTAAACAATAGCAATTAAAGTGTGAAATGTTGCGAGCGATAGCGTGTTTGCTATAGGGCAGGCAGGATTCCTTGCATAATAGACAAATGCAACATTCCTATTAAAATTACAGATTAATGTAACAATTTAACAAAGTAAGCAAAATAAAGGAGCCAGGAAATGTCCGTTGGAAAAGATGGAGCTCTTGGACGAAGATGGTGGAGTTTTGCATTTTGGCCACTTGTCTACATAGGTGGTTATACCGTGGTGTTGCCAGGATGCATATTTGTAAACAGCAGACGCGGTCGCATAGATGCGAAAATTGACCTTTCCCCATAACTATTTCGGAATGCGAACTCAGTTTAATCACGCATGAATATCTCTCATACTGGTTTAGTGGTAAGGATACTAGGCTTGCAACTGGGCGACGGGTTCGATTCTTTTTATGAAAAGTTTTTTGCAAAAATGCGTATCCAAATTCAGCGGAGTTGGACATTAGGTCGGTATTGACAATACACAAAAATTATCAACCTGAGGACTCTTGAATTGGAATAATTGAAATCACATTTAATCCAACTTTTGATAAGCCAAAGAATATTTAGTTCAAATAGATTTCAAAGCGACTCTACTTCTTTCTCATTTGTGAAAAATAATATTCCGAAGTCTCTTACATAAAGTACATGGAATACATTGTTAATTAACCGGAGACCTTTTCCAGTCCAGAAGGTATCTGAAGGTACTGGATATGGTAACCTTAGACTAGAGTTGTATTTCGAGATGATTGCCGCTAAGTATCTTTATCACTTCAGCATCTACCTCCGTTGGACATTAGGTCGGTATTGACAATACACAAAAATTATCAACCTGAGGAAGTAACTCTTGAATTGGAATAATTGAAATCAAATTTAATCCAACTTTAGATAAGCCAAAGAATATTTAGCTCAAATAGATTTCAAAGCAACTCCACTTCTTCCTCATTTGTGAAAAATAATATTCCGAAGTCTCTTACATAAAGCACGTGGAATACATTGTTAATTAACCGGAAACCTTTTCCAGTTCAGAAGGTATCTGAAGGTACTGGATACGGTAATCTTAGACTAGAGTTGTATTTCGAGATGATTGCCGCTAAGTATCTTTATCACTTCAACATCTACCTCCGTATGGGCGAAAAAGTAAAAATAAATAAATAAAACCAAATTCAAGGATCACTTTACCCTGAGTTACAAACAGCTGAAAGCAACATAGTTAGAATAAGTAATTTCAATTAAAACTAAGTACGTTATCTTTTTGAAATGGCAAACTGCACAAATCTTAGACAACAATTGACAAAATTAGAACAAATTGAACTATACTGACTGAATGCAGAAAGCAAAGTGACGCTAAATTTTACCATGAGCCTGTATGAACTGAGCAAATGCAACGAACTTGTGCTGCATAACAGGAAAAGATTCGTTGATGTATCGTGTAGCCAAATAGGAATATTGCAGAAACTATTCTAGTAGGCACAGCTTTCAGGTAAAAAATTATATAATGTCCGAGAGAAATTGCTGGAAATTATTTTCGAGTGTGCAAAACGACCACTAGGGAGCGCAACAGTCATGATCAAATATAAAATTTTAATTTTCTCTTGATTTTATCTAATAAAGTGACTTTCTTGAAAAAATTAAATCAGATTTTTTTTACATGACAAAATAGAGAATTAAGAAAAAATCCCAGATCTGTATGTGTAAAAATGATTGAAAATAGCGTAATTGATTAACTGAGGTGCATAACGGCGCGATATTTGTAATAAAATCATTTGTGCTGCATTAACAGGAAGAGATTCGTTGATGTGCAATTTCTCCCCTACAAAACCAAGAGAAGTGGCTTTTGGCCTCTGGTTCACACGACTTCAACAACGCAAAGAATTCATTCAGATATACTTGGTTGATTAAAATAAGCTACATCATAATAGAAATTCACAATTATTTTTAATTAGCTTTCCATAAATTACGTTAGGGAATATCTACCAGGTTAAGGTACACACTATGTTATTTAAAATGTTTTTAAACACATCGAGAAATTGCATCCATTGGATTAGAACCATTTTTGTTTGATGTTACATCAAAGTTAAGTTGATCATTTATTTCAGGTTGGTAGTGCCGAATTTATGGCGCCCGAAGTGGTGGAAGCATTTATCGGCGAGGCGGACACCACCACGTACGACAAACGCTGTGATTTATGGTCTTTGGGTGTTATAATGTACATTTTGCTCTGCGGCTATCCGCCGTTTTACGGCAAGTGCGGCGGCGATTGCGGCTGGGAACGCGGCGATAACTGCTCGGCTTGCCAAGATCTACTCTTCCACAGCATTCAGGAGGGCCGTTACGAATTTCCCGAACAGGAATGGGGTCACATTTCGGCGGAGGCGAAACATCTCATATCGTCTTTGCTGGTAAAAACTGCTAGTCAACGTATCGGCGCCTCCGAGGTGTTACGCCATCCTTGGCTGACTCGGGCTTGTGATAATTTGCATCTTGCTACCCCCGAAGTTATAAAACGCAATAACTCCGTCAGGGAGCTTTCACAGTTTGCGGAATCCGCAATGGTGTGTAATCGTGTCGTGCTTCAACATTTCAGTATGAATCTGGATTATCTGGAACGTCCGAACGTTTACCCATTTTCATCGCCACCACCGTTGGGATTGAGCCCTCCGAGCGAGAGCAAGCTGTTGCAACGAAGGACGGCGGCGGCTACGAAAACTCACAATTCCTGCCAGTTCTTGCATTTGACCCACTCTCCATCGGCAACCGCCATTGCAAGTCCTAGCAGTTAAATTCTCTACCTTAAGTTTGTTATATTTTTATACATACAAGTTGTGATTTCTTTGTAATCTAAAACTTAAATTTGAGTTACTCTTATTGCAAGGTTTAAAAGGTCGAAGACGCATTTTCTGTTGGAGTCATACGGGTTACAAATGATGCCAAGTCGTTGTCACTTGGATTTTGATAATACGCCTTGCAATGCTATAGTTCTCATAAACGTATGGTTTTGCATGATGTCATAGGAGGCCTCTATATATGTATATATAATATGTATATACGAGGAATTGCTTGTATTTTTAATACTTTTGTACTTTGTGAAGTAGGTTGGTGCAGCATAAAGTCTATTGTGATATCTTCTACTACTGACTGTAGGCGAAATATTCGTACCTGCATCGTTAAATTAGTTGTCAAAATAATATAATTGTTAGAGACTACTTGTTACTGCGCCAACAGTCCAATTTTTTTATTCGGTCCCATTGTAATTTTCAAAGTGTATAGATTAATGCTCAAAATACGTGTTGGTAAGAAACGAAGACTAAAGCTTTCCAAGCGACGAATTGAATCGTCGCCGAGATTGAAGTGTGTAAATAAAGATGTTGACGCGAATTGAGAAAATTTTTGTTGCCTACTACTTTAGTTTTCCTTTCTGGAAGGCACACGCTTTCCCATTTAAAGTACTCATGTTGGACTTGACAGTAAAGTAACATGTATGAGTGTCGTCGAATGGCAAACGAATGAGTTGTATGGCTGTGCTAAGTTTCAGCTGTAGTACTTTCTCTAACTTAGCTTAAGAATAGCATTTACTGCTGTAAATTAGCGGTACTAATGCGTCTATTTTCAATCAAATGATACCAAATAAAATTATATATAAATGAAGCAAAAATGATTTGCAAGTCTAAAGGCTATCTGTGCCATGTATAAGTTGTTATTTTGTATTATGTAAAGGCTCCCGACATAGGGGTCGCTAATATGTAAAGTAACTTGTGTTACTAAAAGAACTGAAGAGATCCTGTTAATTTTACATTGTTTTTTTTTATTGCGCAATAACTTGGGTCAGTTAATTTGATTATACAGATGAAACATTCATTATGTACCAAGTGTGCTTATTTCACATAAAGAGCAATTTTTCTAGACATTTTTTTTTCTGTTCTCCATATTCTTTCCTTACTTGTGCTATCAAAGGTACTCAAATATCTTTGGCCACTACCAAAGAGTACGTTACTCTTTGCCACTACATACATTGACTAATACATTTCTCAGAGTAAGAAATAAAGATAGAGATGCCTTGATGCTTATCTATGCGTGCCATCATCTCGTTTGTTTACTAACATTGCAGGAGGCTACGTTGTCACATTTCACGAGATAGTTTTTAAGGGAATATTAATAATATATGCATCTCGAGTAATCTAAATGGATTTTTAGATGCTTATAAGAGTTCAGTAACCCAAACAATTTTAACTTACAATTAAACGGCGTAACAAGAAAAGTTATGGTGACTAGTGCACCACAACGGCAACGCTGTAACTTTGTTTTCCGTTGAGAGGTATTTTGTTTATTTCGTTAAAACGTGATTCCTTAATTTTTAGGCGTTTTTATAGTGGAGGACTTATTCGATTGTGGTGTATTAATTTATGGGAGCCCTTTGAAATGGGGAAAAGCTGTATTATTTGTGGAATTATTGAATTACCTAACATAACCTTTCATCCGTATGTGTTTTGAAGTCATAGACGTGCATACGGGAATTTTCGCATTTTAATGTGTTTAGATTTCCTTCTAAGTTTCCACTTTGAAGTATCACCATACCTTATCATAGATCAATAGGGACCTTTCAAACACATACAGCTTTTGGTCATAAATATTTAGTGATACGTTATGACGTTTGCACATGTAAACAAAACATATTGCCCATAAAAATAAATAAACCTTACGCCACTGACTAATGTTTACTTTCTACCTCTCAAGGGTCAAATTGACTGAGATGTTGGTTCAAAACAAACGTTCACGTTGTTATAGCGTACGCGTACTCTATCTTTATTTCTTACTCAGAATACATTTAAATAAACGTAAGCTTATAAATTGGCAACACAAATGGAGCTCTAAATGTGTTACTATGGAGCTGGGCCCCCAAGTTGTGGCCACTATTATTGCATCATCAAAGTTCATGTAATGTACCTATACAAGTGCAGACACAGCGACAGGTATTGACATTGACAAGTGAGTACTTATCGTTAAAAGGGAGAGCGCTTGTTATTTGCGTCGACGATTGAGGGTTTTGAAGATTTGGGGAACTTGGCAGAACGAAACTTGTAATAAAACGGATATTGGTTTTCATGATTAGAGGGTTATATTCTCAACAGAAAGAACCTGTAGGGTACTTTATTTTAAAAAGTCGAGGTAGCACAGATACCACCCGCACATGCGCGATTCTACCCTTTTAATGTCTAAAAATATGTGTAGCAAATTTGATTCCAATCGGTTGTGCTGTTTAGCTGGAAATGAGAGTACAGACAGACTGGTCAACATCAAGGTTTTGTTTGATTCGATTTCTGATGCGTCAAGACGTGTATTTCCGTAAAAAAAGTGGAGAGTCATTTTTTACTCCAATACTTCCCTTACTAACGTGCACGTGCGAGTGATAAAAATCATAGGATTTCTATACCACCAACCACCTTGGATTGAAGGTTTGAAGTGCACCATCACATCACATCACAAAACGTGTATTTCCTTCAAAAAAAGGGGGGGGGGGTCGTTTTTTACCCCAATGCAATACCTCTCTCTCTCTAACGTGCGGGTGATAAAAATGAGTTATTTTTATGGAATGAATATTCTGCTTAAATCTTCCAAACGTCTCCTACTATAGCCTACTCACTATGTCCGTTAATATCTGTTTTATTATTTTTACCCAAAATCGTCCTGTAACCTTTATTTTCATGCCTACTTTTTGTCAGAAAATTTTAGTTTCCATGACTGAGGCAGAGCAGACTACGTTTCCCGCCGCTTGTCACTTTATTGGCCGCACCTGTCACTTTACCGGCCGCACCGTCACTTTAAACCATTAAGGAATCCAATTTTAGACCTATGTGTTAATACATGTGTTGTCTTGTGATATTGTATGTATATACACTGTTTGTAAATTTATGTTTCTATGTTTTTGACGACTGTAAGGGCGTTGCACATTAGCAAGATTTATGTATTATTATTATTATTATTATTTACCGGCCGCATCTGTGACATTTGTAAATGTCTATGACTCCTGTCATCACTGACAGATTGACATTAATAAAAAGTTCTACATAAAAATTGAAATTTTATATTCAAATACGATTTCGGGTAAAATTTAATACAAAACTCGTCACTAAAATGACACTACTTGACTCGGAAATTAAAGTACTCGACGCTCGACCCCAAAGGGGCCTTGTCCTTCAATATTCCCTCGCCAGCTACCTTAGATGATCCAATCATGTGCTATTTTTTTTGTTATTAACTTTAAGCGGGAACTGTGTTTTGAAACTGGGGATTTCAACGTTGCCATTTTGTATTAAAATTCCTCATTTTAGCTACGAACCTGGGGATGGGTAAAGTGTTAGGCTTATTTCAATGGTTAAGATCAGTACCAGTTCGATTTTCTTTTTTCATAAGAGCGCAATATGTCTCGAAAAAAATAAAAAGAAGTAGGTACCGTAATCTGAGGCGAATGCGGACGATTTTTATGTTTTTTTGCTAATAACTTTTTCATTTTCGTTGAAAAAAATAATTTAAGGACTGTTATGTTTCTGTTTCTAGAATATCATAACGATAAAACTAAAATGAAAATTTTAACCCTTTACTTAATGTTTTTGGTTAAAGACTGTCCGCCTTCGCCCCTAATATGTATGGGGCAAAGACGGACACTCATGTATTTTGTATGTCAACTTGTTTTCGCCACTACTGTGGGCTGAAGTCGGACAAATCACTTGAAAATAATGCTAAATACAGTATGGTCCATAAATATAGGAAGTATTATTAGTAAAAAACAACCATTTATTAGCTTTAAGACATATTTATTTGGCAAAAATAGATTATAGAAATGCATTAACAGAACCATTACAAAGCATTATAAAAGTTAATAAAAACTCTTTACAAAACACTTTTTAGTGTTCGACTTGGCCCCATCTGACAATTTTTTAGAATTTAATTGTTTAAAAAAACACTTAACAAACTACTTTCTTAGTTTTGGATACATTAAATGTTAAGTATGAGGTACTCATCACATTAGTGTGGCAACAAATTTCACAACTGTTTAGGTAAATATTCATTGTACAGAGGTTGTTTTTTGATTTTCAAAAAATATAAAATAAGCACATTTCTAGGATTTCAGATTGGTTACCATCACTGCAACTGTACTTGGAATAACAACATCTAAATTGTACGTAGTACGTAGTCTTGAATCAGAACATGCTGGCGAGTGTAATTGCATCGCTCCATCCATGTTAATATGTATGATCTAAGGAGATGTCTGATTTCAAATTTAAAAAGTACTGTCGGCGTATATAGAAACACCGCTGGAAAGCTCTGAAAAAATGCTTTAGAAAAAATGTACCTATAATTTCGATGCAAGCCTCGGCAATTTAAAACCATGTTAGTCTGTATGTTAGGAAGGAAATGGTGTGTTGAATTAGCTTTTTAGTATTTGAGGTCCCTTTGCTTTTGGTAGTCAGTCAGGGTAGCAAATATAACTTACAATGAGAGGTCGACCCAAAATCGGTATGACATCGAACAAGTAAAAGGTCCAAAGGCCCAGACGGGGGAAGAGGACCGAGCAAAGTGAAAGGTCACGAAACCCTGAAGGAGTAGTTTTTCGGTTAGTTACTCCTTCGGGGTTTCTTGACCTTTCAGTTGCTCGGTCCTCTTCCCCCGTCTTGGCCTTTGGACCTTTTACTTGTTCGATGTCGTACCGATTTTGGGTCGACCTCTCATTGTAAGTTATATGTGCTATGTTAGAGATTATTAATCGTTAAGTTTTAGTTGTTGCTGTGTCTTCGGTCGGTTGTTCCCTTCAGGACTCCTGATCTTTAAACTTGCTCAATTCTTCGTCCCCGTCAGGGTCGATTAATTTTTAACTTGTATTATTAATATTTCGAAGCTGTTCGGATATTATAACATCTTGTAAGTTTTATCACTCTTGTGACTTGTGAGACAAATTTGTAATCGTACAACATTTTAGGCCTGATGATGGCTTGTTAGCCGAAACATGTCGCATTACAATTAAAGATTATTCCAAGTGTATGGGGAAGGTTTTGTGTTCACTTTCTAATAATTATATACCTTTGGCTTTAAATGTATTTTGTCTAAATTTGTAGGATGTCTTTCAGCATTGATTGATTCATTTTACACTTTTGATCAATTAGGCATTCAATAAACTTTCTTTTGCTTTTCAAATTCAATAAGTGTGTTATTTGCGTTCCACCTTTCCGATAATAAGCTTGGGTATTTTTAAATATACCTACGTATTAGATTGTCGCTTTATTAGCTGTAACGAAGCACCCGTTTTCCGCCTTGAAGTTCATAACCGAAGTTGTGACCACACCGTTATACATTTGTGGAGTCGGCCAGCTTTACAATGAACATCCGGTATCTAGAAGCGTTTTAAGTTGCGCGCTTCGTTACTAACAAACCTTAGTGTTTAGAAGAGAGAGAATCAATGTTATTGAGATTTAGGTACGTGAATGATCGATTAATCGATTTTAATATTCTAATGGTGTACAAAAATCCAGAATTGAAACCGGCATGGTCGTGCTTATGGTTTAAGGAAAATATCAATGTGATAATACAGATTGCCCCGCGTGACTTCACATTCCATGGAGCAAAAAGGCATTGCTGGACTACCGAATTTGAAGATATCATTCCGAATGTTTGGAGAAGTATAATTAACCGTTATTGTTGGATGCGTTACAAATAAAAACATCCGATTAAGTCGAGAATACATCCGTTAGGTGCGCTCTTAAACTTGAAGTTTGACACGAGTCCCATATTTTTCCGATGTCGGAGGAAGGCGTAATTAATTAAAAACAGTTAATTTGTTTGAACGTATCGTAGATATAAGCGTACGAGACGGGAATTCTATTATAGTTTGTCCTTACTCGAAATGGACGTTTAGATAATTAGAAAATGCACTATGAAATAACATCTTTTTACTTTTGCATCTTCTCAAGCTACGTTTTGTAAGTACCGAAATTTGGAGCTTTGCCGTACATTTATTTTTGCAACCGTACCGTATTTAAGTCATCGATCTTTTGCACTTTAGTGGTGAACCGAAACGTAAAATCTTTTTACTTTTTCATCTTTTACCTTTTGTGTTTCAACCGTATATTAAGTTTCAATATTTTTTCAGACCGTTTAATTTTGTTTTGTATTAATTTTACTGCACCGAATATAGCTTGTACTGTTTCTTGTACAGCAACTTCTACCGTTCCGTTTAATTGCAAGGTAAGAGTTTTTGTTTGTTACTTTCCGTTTCACCATTGATTATTCAATGGTTTCACTAATTATAAGGGGGAGAATATTGTTGACTTTTCAGCATTTGCTTTTCCGCTGATTTGTGTTTTTTAGCCTTCATTCTCACTAGGGAGTTTGCCGTAATTTTGTTTTAGTCTCTGAAGTGACCGCCGCGATTTTTTGAACTCGTCCGATTCCTGAGAACGCCGTTCTTCGTTCAAGTTACCTGGACTATCCGACACCGCGTCGTTCCGAGTATAACCAGAAGCAGGGGTGCAGATTCTTCTGGTGGGGCCCGAAGCACTCCCGCGTCGCTGTTTTTTGGCCTCTTGTTTATAGGTAAAATCAATTTAAGAAACCTAAATCCAGCACTAAATTGTGTTATATCATTTTAACTAGATATCGCTAGTGACTAATCAAATCGATAAAGCTACTTAAAATAATTTCCCTTCGTTAATTCATAGATAATACGTAGCTATGCAAAGCATATATAGGTAGGGATATATATTCTAGACATTATTATATAACATTGAAATTAGGTAGGTATATTATTTACAGTCGTTTTCATTGAATATAGATTGTGTACTAATTGAAAGAATGTGTAATAATTACGGGTTTTAGAAATAAGCAAATACCGAGCACGGGCAAGCGATGTCAAATGGTAAAAGAATAGTCATACCGTTGAAATGAACGCAAAATGGCCACTATTAGTCCATAAGCACGCAATGCTAGATCTTGACAATCAAGTGTATGTCCTTGATTTTTTTCACACCACTTATTCATTTATGTAGTAACCTTCAGTCAAGTCAGTTATCTACCAAAATTTGAAAGCGGTGGATGTCGGTTACGATGAGTAGCGTTTCGGGAATATTAATCTTAGCGTTGTTAATCAATGGTGCCTTTAGCGCTAGAATCTTGGGAGTATTTCATGGGTTCGCTTACAGCCACCAACAAGTCGGAAATAAAATTCTTTACGAACTCGCCGCGCGAGGTCATCAGGTTACCGCAATCGTACCGGCACCGTTTGCCTCAAAGACGCCGATTAAAAATTATACACCAGTAAAAATTGAGTTGCCCGATTTTGCAAAAGGTGAGTTGACGTCTTTCAGTAACCGTAATCGTTAACGTTTCTGCACGTGTAGATAAAGAGTTGGATTTATATAAGGAATCTGAAAGGGGAATCTTAAGCAAAGTGATATTTATGGATGTGATGGGAGCCATTTTTAGTGAAATGGTTTTTAACCAAACCACCGTGCAAGAGCTTTTAAAGTCAAACGAACAGTTTGATATGGTTATAATGGAACAATTTATTAATGAGGCGTTTAAAGGGTTTTGTTACCATTACAAAGCGCACTGTGTTGTTGTTAGCACAGTGGGTACTTCTAGATGGACCGATTTTCAAATGGGCAACCCCATCAATCCTGCATACATGCCCGATCTATATTTAAGTTACTCGAGCAATATGAATTTTTGTCAACGACTAGTTAATTCCATTACCTTTCTTCTGGCAACTTTAAACTTTTTCCTATTGACGTTGCCTAAGCATAATGAAATAATGCAGAGGTATATACCGGGGACGCCACATCTCAATGAATTGTATTATAATACCTCCCTCATGCTCCTAAATTCTCACACCAGCATTAATTCCCCGGTACCGTTGGTTCCAAATATGATCGAAATTGGAGGTTTCCACGTGAACCCACCAAAACCGTTATCTAAAGATTTGCAAGATTACCTAGACGAAGCCAAAGATGGTGCGATTTATTTCAGTATGGGTTCGAATTTGCAGGGAAAAGATATGAACAAAGAAGTGCGTGACGCTATCTTAAAAGTTTTCTCAAAGTTGAAGCACAAAGTACTATGGAAATGGGAGGCAGACGTTCTTCCCAACCAGCCCAAAAATGTTCGCTTGGGAAAATGGTTTCCCCAACAAGATATACTGGCACATCCCAATATAAAACTTTTCATAACGCACGGCGGTTATTTAAGCACAACCGAGGCAATTTATCATGGGGTACCGATAGTTGGTATACCCGTCTTTGGGGATCAAGAAATGAACGTTGCCACAGCGGAAATTGCTGGATACGGGAAAGGTGTCGGTTACAAATATTTAACGGAAGAATCGTTTGGGAAAGCTGTAAGTGAGGTGTTAAATAACCCCAAGTGAGTTGCCCTAATTGCCAACGGTTGGTGATAACCTTTGATCGTAGGTACATGGAAAATGCAAAGCGGAGGTCGAAAATACTGCACGATCAGCCGATGAAGCCGTTGGATAAAGCGATGTATTGGATCGAGTATGTTTTGCGACATAATGGTGCGCCTCACCTACGCACGGCCGCCTTAGACTTGCGTTGGTTCCAAGTGCTCTGCTTAGATGTAATCTTATTTGCAGTGTTTACGGTATTTGCAGTAATTTTTGCTGTCTATAAGGCAATTAGTATTGCATGTCGAAGGCGGCCTAGTAAGTCGAAGTTGAAGAGTCAAGCAAAAAAGAAAAATTAAGTTGGTGTCGAGACAGAGATCAGTTAATTGTAGTCGTATTCCTGTTAGACTTTTGTTTTATGACGGGCGATCAAAAATGAGTTGCTGTCAAGTCTCCATTGGAAGTTCAAGTTCCCATGTAAAGAAACATTCCAAAGGTGACTCGACACCAACTAATTTTTGATCGCATGGTACAAGTTAATTGCAAATCATACACAAGCCATTTATTTGCATATTTTCTTGTACCTAGGAATACCTACTAAGTTATGAAACATGGTTCCCACATTTTTTTATAGGTAGGTATCTATACTTAATGAAATAAAGAATGATATTGTTTTCTCAGGCTTAATTTTTTTACCTTGAGAATCGTTGTGGTATCATACGTTCGATTTCTTTCTTTGCGGATTTTAGGCTGGTAATCATATCCCTGTACCTATATTAACTTACGTCGGTTACTTTACCTTGTATACGTGTAAGTGTGAAGATTGCGAAATTCGTAAATTTATTTTACTCCAGCTTGACCAACATGCTCAAATAATTTTGAATAGAAGGCGCGAAGGCAGTGCCGTTTTTAAGTTGTTCGGGGCCCTGGGCCATTCGTTCGTGGAGGCCCCCCTTACTCTCAATAGAAACGGCATAATGTTTGCATTTTGTGACGAAAATGACCTGACTTTTATTTTATTGAACTGTAAAGTCAATGTCTTACCCATGGGCAAAACCTCAGTGTAATACCCACTTTAGGCTTTTTATCACTTATTAGGACTTTTTAACTTTCTAAATGGTAACCTTATACAGGGTGGTGACTTGCGTAACGCATCATAGGAATTTCAATGTAAAATTCATAACATGCGATTATTGGCTCCCCAAATTATTTTAGAGCAAAAATGTATTAAAGTTTTTTGTAGACAAAATTTTTTACGTCGTCTTAGTTTTCAATTTTTTGCATAATAAAGACGGAAATTGGAAAAATAAAACCCGCATCTTTTTCAATAATCTGCGATGCCATGGAATTTTCTAAAACAAAAAGATATCCAGTTATCATTTAATAGCAGCAGTTCGAAATGGATTTTATGAGCGACTTTTTGATAGAATTCCATTTGTTTTATGCAGACATTCCATGGCATGACAGATATTGGTGTAGTTTTTGTATTATAAAATTCCATGGCATCACAGATTATTGAAAAAAATGGGGGTTTTACTTTTCCAATTTTCCGTCTTTATTATGCAAAAAATGGAAAACTAATACGGTTGATTGACGTAAAAAATTATAATTTCGACAAAAACCTTAATACATTTTTGCTCTAAAATAATTTGGGGAGCCAATAATCGCATGTTATCAATTTTACATTGAAATCCCTATGATGTGCTACGCAAGTCACCACCCTGTATACACGATCTGCAGGATTTTAGAATTTCCGGTATCCCTTACTCTATGCATTAATTTTGTTTAAATCTGCATTTACTTTAAGGCGGCAGATTTTGCACTAAAATTTTTTCATTCACACAAACTTTTGGGGGCCCCTCAGGACTTTGGGGCCCTGGGCCCGGGCCCAGGTGGCCCATGCTTAAAAACGGCACTGCGCGAAGGTGAAAGTGCGAGATCCATTTCCTCAGCACCGCTGATTGCTGCCATTTTTGGCAAAAAAACACTGGAACCGTTTGGGTTGAAATTATTTTCGATTGTGGTTTGTGCTACTCTCCTTTCCAGAGAAACGGTGGGCGGCGGTAAGGTAAGGAAGTAGGTACGACTCCCACCCAATCGTACTATTCTTTGAAAAAATCCACTGGAATCGTTTGCGCTTCATTTGTGCTTGTTTGTGCTGCAATTATTTTCGTTTGTGCTATTCTCTAGTAGAATTTTGATAGTAGAAGGCCGCTACTATCCCCACCTCAAGGTCGCGGTCTTAAGTTTTCGCGCAAGGTAGTAGCTTTAGATATCGACTCAAGGTCATGGCATTAACTTTTGGCCCAAGGTCGTGGCCTTCAGTTTTGGATGTTGGCTCAAAATCATGACCTTGGGGGTTTTGTGACGCCACAAGGTCGTGGCCTTGAATTTTGACGATGATATAGGATTTTGATCCAAGATCATGGCCTTGACGCCGTAACTAAGCAGTGACTTTGTTTGGTGGTGCAAGGTCATTCAAAACTAGAAAAAGTTATTGCGATGAGATTAATTCAATTGTTAGATGTGGCATAAAAGTTGAAATAAAGATTCCAAAATAATTGCGTTTAATTTACTCTAGGTTATCGATTTTTTTCGTTTTATTCGTGCTCAGACCTAAAGTAAACACTAATTTTGGAAATGGGAGCCCTAAATCAAGAAAATCATGTTAAATAGTTAAGAAGGGTAAAACTTTTACAAAGAAGAAGAAAACCCAAAACGTTCAAGCCAAATCAATAGGTTCTGTACTTACATCTGTAGTGTACTTAACTCCCAGGTTCTACTCTAACTTCACACTACAAGAACACGGAAATAAAGTCAACCCGGCAACGTTTAAAAATAGCCACCCGAGTGACTATTCCCTCCAAAACTAAACGAGATCCCGCTTAAATTTGAAAAGTAGCACGTGATAAAACATCTACGGCAGGGCTCCCTTACGTTAGTTGTAGACAATGCTTTGACCTGAAGCACAGTAGGGAAGGAACGTTAAATAATACACTGAAATTTTGAAAAGTTTATTTAATAATGATCGTAATTATTAAGATTGTGAAAGCCCAGGAATTTAGTTGATGTACATTAATATAAATAAAACAAGCGTAGCCAAAAGGTGTCGTACTGTCGCAAAAGTAACTGCTAAGGGCAAAAAGAGTACGACGTAAGAAAAACCTCACAGTTTGATTAATACAGTCCAAAAGTTAATTAACAAAATATTTTGTAAAAGTTTAAGCAGTAGTTAACAAAGATAGTAAATGCATATACACAATGTTGGTTAGGTACACTCAAGGTTAAAAGCAATTTTTTGGAAACAATGGGTCAGATGGGAGCAGGTACCTAAATTCTGAGAAAGGGTTAAAAGTACAGGATGTCACTCATCTTTGTCGCAATAAAGTCCTTTTGTTAAAAGCAAGATGGAAAATTACACGGCCTTGCAGGCAAATTTAACTAAAAACAAGATATGTGGAAATTATTGAATCGCCACTCATTTATCGCACATAGATTCTAAACTGAAGAGCTTTGATTAGCGTAATCCCGCTCCTGCAAGATGGGTAGCCCGTCCCTGGTTTCGGGGTTTCGAGCCTACAGTTGGATGTCGCAGACAATCACGGAATTAGGTGTCGTACTTTAAATGGTTACATTTTTTTATTACCATTCCCGTGACTGCTTCATTCACGGAGACAATTGTTAGTAACAAACAAAAAGTCAGTACATACATCAAACGAATCGGTAATTTCCACATATTAAAATAAAATGATTTAAGACTTATATGAATGTTACTTCACGGACAAGACCAAGTAATCAACATCAATAAACATAAATTAAGCAAGCATTACACCAAAAACGTAAACAATTACAAACAATAGCATAACGGTATTTAACATGTCATTCTGCATTGCGGTTAAATCAAGTAAATTTCAAAAACAAAGATTGAAACACAAAAAATATAAAATGCGGCATACAAAACACAAATACGATATAAAGAAATGCAAAAATTACTACCTGCATTAAATAACACAAAATAACAACAAACATTTATGGAGCGACGCGTTCACTACCGCCAATCAAGACAAGATGCCAAACGTAACCCCCGTTCGTGCTTTCTAGGTGGCGCAGGCAGCTTTTTCCCACCTAGAAATTGCATGGCTGCCAACTCTGAAAAATGTATGTATAGTCGTAAGTTGTGTATACAGGGTGGAACCTCTCACATCTAACGTCATAAAGTCCAAGGTCACGACATTGGGCCCAAATCCAAAACTCAAGGTCATGGTCTTGGGTCAAAATCCAAGGCCACGACCTTCGCTCTAAACTCATGACCATCACCTTATAACGTCCCAAAAAGTGGTGGAGACAGTAGAGGCCTGTGAAATACATTTTACTTGGGCCCAAATCAACTCTACAGGGATAAATGATAAAGAAGTAATTTTACTACTGAATTTTTTTTTTGTTATTTTGTCTAAGGGCACGTGCACAACGGAGCTGTGATACTAGCATATAGCCTGGTTCATAGATCAAAGCGCCAGCTACAAAGTGGTATGTTATCTGGAATCCACCCGCAAGTGAATACCACACTCGGTCAATCAATAAAAAAAGAAGCGAAATGGGAGAGTTTCACCACCTATACCATTTCTCTTTTCAAACTAATACTGCAAACATCCATTATCAAAAACAATCTTTTATTGACGCGCGACAAGAAGGAAATGAATGCGAAAAATGCACAATGTGTGTACATTTTCCGAGCGCATGCTTGAGCAAGATTCTGCTAGCAGAAAGAATGGCGAAATCTAATACGACAGCAACTCATTTTTGATCTCCCCTTACTCTCTTTATTGCACAGGGTTTTTGAGTGCGACCGCCATCTTAAATTTTTTTTATTATACCTGAATCACAATCTCCGTTTTAAACACTCAAATGCGTGCGAAAAAAGGCCTTTAAAACACACGTGCTTTAAAGTTGCTAAGTAACGATACTTCAAGTAGGTATGACTTTTGAAACTGTCATCTGGGTGAAATAAAAAATCTTCCTAAGTCACTTTCTGTAAATGCAGAACATTTCTTTGGCTTGTACTTGTACCTATCCTTTGGTTGAACCTTTTAGAAACGCGCGTAATTTAGGGTATGCTTCCAAATCTGTTCCACTTTTTAGTCCCAACAATAAGTGAAGTTTTGAATGAATGCACCAAAAGATAGAAGATTTAAATACCTTTGACATTTCCTTCATATATGCCAGCATTATCGATGCATTTTAAGACTTTTTTCTCCAACCACCTGAATAAGACGCTATTTTGTGACAGTGTTCGGTACGTAAAATTGACGTTTTGCGGATTAATCGCTTTCACCATGGCAACTGTACAAAAAGTGGATCCTTTTGTTATATATAATGAAGTTCTCCATTTTTTGGGTCCGTTGGATACTTTTGGTCCTAGTACCAAAAAGAAATTGACCTTGAAAGTTGGCCAATTAAAAAATTACAATCACGGAGATATGTCACATTGACATCGTTTTACATTGCAGGTTATAGGATATTTCTATATATACAAATCAAATATTTTTGCATATTCAATGCAAATAATGATGTTACCTATACGTTTGTACATGTATTGAAAATGATTTACGCTCGCTATTTTTATTTAAACCATGTGTACCGTAATTTACATATTCGATGAACGTAATTTTAATACGTATAGGTACAACCCGCCGTCGCGCGTAACGCCATCTACTTCAGAACCATTGCACTATTATCTGTCATTTTGAATTCAAAATTTGAAAAAGTTAATTGCAATGAATTTTAAAAAACTGTATGGTAAGTTTTTTATTTCAATACAAAATATAACAATATTAATTGTGTATACAATAGAAATGACTGAAACTGATAGCGACATAGATTGCACTCCGCCAGAGATTTTAGAAACGGCAGAACATGCTACCTACCAAGATTTGCTCCCTACAAAGTCGCGAGAGGTGAGAAGTAAGAAGTAAGAACGAATAGGTTATATAAGTTAACCTAAAAACTAGAGTGGCATGACACGTGAGGACAAGAAAGCAGAAGTTCTTATACCTACTATAGTAGTGAAACTGTGACTGAATCTAAATTCGAATATAATTTGAAGTAAAGGGGGTTGGAGAAAAAATTTTATGTTTTATTCGTACAAAAAATGCTTTTTCGGGACTCGGAAGGAACTATCTTCCTTGTCCCGAAAACTGACATTTTTTGTACTAATGAAACAAATAACTATGTCTACTCATATGGGTTAATGAATACATTAAACGTTCCAATTTTATGAAGTAAGAGTATAAATTCCTCACATTATTGGATAACAGCTGTGAGTAATAATTAATCACTGGGCATGGCTTTAAAAAACTCACCGCAGCCAGCCAATGAGAAAGTTTCATAAAAAACAAAGAATCAATCTGTCAATTTATCTGGTTGTAACTTCCCTTTGTATCGAAATATAGGACTTGCCCAAATCTAAGAATTAGATTTAATAACACAAAAAACAAAAATGTGAATGCAAAATTGTATAATTGAAAATCAATATTAAATTAAATAAAACATCCCATGCTAATTTAGATCGTTTTTAATATAAATTAAGGTGCTGAATTGAACTCAAAGGAAAAGATCATTGTATTACCGACGCATCGAATTTGAAAGTGTCAAGATGAATAGCGAAAAATGAAAATAATGCAAGTTGTAGGCCACCAAATACAACAGAAACGGTTTTAAATTTATAGCCTGAAAAGTCTAAATATCTTAGATCGATCTAAGCTAAATATAAATATGAAAATTTGAATATTTCACTCCCATTTTCTCGACCTAAAAGACAACTACTTACAAAAGGATCTTCAAAGTGTAAAAATAGGAAGTGAGGTTAAGTATTCGTACAAATTCTGTTAGTACTTCGTAAGTCGCACATGCCTATTATTTTGTCGTAGTTTTGGTAGTACCCGCATTATTCAATGTTTAGGTGATTAGCTATAATTACATATATAGCAATAAACCCACAATTTAAACGATCAAATTTCAAGAAATGAGAAACGAAAACTTGACAACTTTTTGATATCTATGATATCATCTCAATTGTCACACTCTCACTCACAGTATGACCAACTTTAAATATTTATGAAATAACTCAACTGCAATTGGTTTGGTAACAAACGATAAGTTTGAATATTTTCATTGAATTTTGCCAAATATTCGTAGAAAAAGTATAGTATTAGTATTCTATTCGCATGTAATGGCTATTACTCATTCGAAAGAATTACACATTCTCATGAGTAATAGCCACCATTACATGCTCATGGAATAATATACTATTACTGGATTGAGATTTTACACCTACCAACGTTTGTTTAGATTTTACAAGCGATTTAATGGACGGTGTATTATCTTTTTCAACGGAAATCGTTTTATTCACAAAGACGACAATTTTTATAAGCAAACGTCAAGTGACATTTCCATGGATATCGTGAAATTACGAACACCCAGCCCACTTAATTAGACATGTATTCGAGTATAACGTCAATATGATTTCATTGAATTTCCTATTTTTAAATTATACTGCAGGTATAATAAAAAATACTATAAGATACACGTGTATAATTGGTCTTTAAAGCACTTGCAACGTTAAAGGCACTCCGCTTTGCGTCGTGCCCTTAAACTCGTTGCGCGTGCTTTAAAGACTTGATTATACACTTGTATCTTAATATACTATAAATAGCAACATAGATCATGCGATACGTCATTAGAAAACTTATTTTTCTCTTTCTTATACAACTTTAATCATAAATGGTGTTAAAAATTCGAAAATAATGGAGAAAAAACTCTGTCAAATGGTCCATATTTCACAAAATTAAGATTTATTGCTACCGTAATGCAATAGTTGTAATAGTTGTAGGTAGGTATACTATTAGCGGTGATTATCTACACACTTTGGCACTTGCACAATCATTCAAGTTACAAGCAAATTATGCCATTATCTGTTTTAATTATTGATATGATTATATAGTACGACCTTCAGTCAGTTCAGTTATCTATCGGCATTAAAGGGGAGATGAGTAGCGTATCGGCAATATTAGTTTTGGTGTTATTAGTTAATAGCGCTTTCGGCGCTAAAATTTTGGGAATATTTCATGCATTCGCTTACAGTCACCAGCAACTCGGAAATAAGATTCTCTACGAACTCGCTGCGCGAGGCCATCAAGTTACCGCTATCATACCCGCTCCATTTGTCCCGAAAACGCCGATTAAAAATTATAAACCTGTGACATTTGAGTTACCTGACTTTGTACATGGTGAGTTGATACATTTACATAACTGTAACAGTTGACGCTTCCATATCTATAGATAAGTTGGATTTGTATAAGGAATCTGAAAGGGGAGTCTTAAGCAAATTCATATTTATGGATGTGATAGGAGTCGTTTTTACTGAAATGGTTTTTAACCAAACCACCGTACAAGAGCTTTTAAAGTCAAACGAACAGTTTGATATGGTTATAATGGAACAATTTATTAATGAGGCATTTAAAGGGTTTTGCTACCATTACAAAGCGCACTGTGTGGTTGTCAGTACAATAGGTACTTCTAGATGGACTGATTTTCAAATGGGCAACCCAATCAACCCTGCATACATGCCCGATATTTTATTAAGTTATTCGAGCAATATGAATTTCTACCAACGGCTAATTAATTCCCTAACCTTTCTCCTGGGAACAATACACTTTTTTCTATCTTCGTTGCCTAAACAGAACGAAATAATGCAGAAGTATATACCAGGAGCGCCGCATCTAAATGAGTTGTATTATAATTCCTCTTTGATGCTTTTAAATTCTCACACCAGCATTAACCCAGCAGTACCGTTGGTACCAAATATGATCGAAATTGGAGGTTTCCACGTGAGTTCTCCAAAGCAATTACCTAAAGATTTGCAAGAGTACTTAGACGAAGCCAAAGATGGTGCCATTTATTTCAGTATGGGCTCGAATTTGAAGGGAAAAGATATGAACGAAGACGTACGAAATGCTATTTTAAAAGTGTTTTCAAAGTTAAAGCACAAAGTACTGTGGAAATGGGAGGCCGACGTTCTTCCTAACCAACCCAAAAATGTTCGTCTGGGAAAATGGTTTCCCCAACAAGACATATTGGCACATCCCAATATAAAACTTTTCATTACCCACGGCGGTTATTTAAGCACAACCGAGGCAATCTATCATGGGGTACCGATAGTTGGTATACCCGTCTTTGGGGACCAAGAAATGAACGTGGCTACAGCGGAGATTGATGGATACGGAAAGGGCGTCAGTTACAAAACTTTAACGGAAGAATCTTTTGGAAACGCCGTCAATGAAGTTTTACGTAACCCCAAGTGAGTTCGCCTAATTGCCAATGATTGGTGATCACCTTTGACCGTAGGTACTCAGAAAATGTAAAAAGGAGGTCGAGAATAATGCACGATCAGCCGATGAAGCCCTTGGACAAAGCGATGTATTGGATCGAGTATGTTTTGCGACATAATGGAGCACCCCATTTACGCACGGCCGCCCTAAACTTGCGTTGGTTCCAAGTGCTCTGCTTGGATGTCATTCTGTTCGCAGCGATAACGATGTTTGTAACTACTTTTGCTGTCTATAAGGTAATAGTTATTACATGTCGAAGCCGATCAACAAAATTGAAACTGAAAAAACCAACAAAAAAGAAAAATTAGATGAGGTAGAGATAAGTTACTTAATTGTATTTACGTGCTTTTGTTGTACAATATAATTAAAGTGTTTTCACAATTTCACAATTAAAGCGTCGTCAATTAACTGGCTGATTAATTTTCTGAAATATTTCATTTTCTCGGGTATGCCACTTCACCGGTCACCGACCCCTATACAGGGTGATTCCTATAGTACCTGCCACCGTTTGGGAGCGTGTAGGTGGTGCGTAGGGGAGTATTTTGATATAGGACACTTGGGGTCGGAAATCTAAAATAAGGGTGCCAGAGCCAAATTTACCTTCTGGAATTTCGCGCCTGTAGGTAGGCAACCCAACCGGCGGCGGTGCACACGGAGCGATCTCAGGCGGCGATGTGTGGCTGACACTTGATCAGAATTTTGTTTAAACCCACGAAATCCCGTCTGCAACGACGCGTATCAAGTGAATAAACACTATGGCACGTTTTACTAACACGGAATACGCGGACATGCACTTCATGTACGGATTGGCAAATGGTAACGCACGAGCTGCACGACGAGCGTACGCTGAGCGGTATCCAAACCGTCAGTTACCCTGCAGACAGGTCTTTCAAGAAGTTCACTTCCGACTGTGCGAGACAGGGCAATTGCAGGTAAGCTGACGGAGGCTTAACTTTACACACAGATTCGTGATGCACATCGATACTTGGGTCATTTAAGCACCCATTTCGAAAAGTTTGTTTGTTTACACCGACCTCCTCCTATTTCGCAGCCCACTAGCGCCCGTGATCGCGATCGCCCGTTGGTAAATGCCTTAGAGGAGGATGTGTTGGAACGTTTCGAGGCAAACCCGCGTACTAGCACTCGACTTGTAGCAGATCAGGTGGGTTGTAGTCAACACACAGTGTGGAACATCGCCAACAACAACAACTTACACCCCTATAAGTTTAAGAAAGTGCAAGAGTTACGGCCGGGTGACCATGAAAGGAGGCTGGAATTCTGAAACTTAGTCGTCCAGGAGGAAGAAGCTAATCCGAACTTTCTGAGGAGCGTGCTAGTTACTGACGAGAAAGGATTCTTAAGAGAGGGGACCTTCAATCCTCGTAACAGCCACTACTGGGCGGACCACAATCCTCATGAAACGTTTACGCGAGGATACCAGGACAAGTTTTCTTTAAACGTTTGGGCTGGCATCCTGGGGGACAACCTACTGGGGCCTTACATCCTCCCTCCGCGTCTAAATGCCCATAATTACCTGATTTTCCTGCGCGAGGTGCTACCAGAACTTTTAATGGATGTTCCAGTGAACTTGTACTGGGACCACTGGTTCCAGCACGATGGGTGCCCTGCTCACTACGGGCGGCAGGTGAGGGAACACTTGGACCAAACCTATCCGGACAGATGGATCGGCCGTGGAGGTGCGGTGGAGTGGCCTGCCCGCTCGCCCGACATCACCCCATTAGATTTTTACTTGTGGGGTGTGATGGAAGCGCACGTCTACGAGACTCCCGTCGAATCCGAAGAGGACTTAATTGCGCGCGTCGTCATGGCCGGAGAGGCTGTTCGCCAGGACATAGGAGTCTTCACGCGAGTTCGAGGGGAGTGGTTGGCTAGATGTAGGAAGTGCATTGAGAACAACGGTGGCCACGTTGAACACTTGTAAACGTTATTGCTTTTGACTGTCGTTTTCCCTCCTTCCCTCCCATGTCGCTTCCTCGCTCTGCATCGCTCCGCGCGAAACGTCGGTCGGTTGGGTTGCCTACATACAGGCGTGAAATTCCAGAAGATAAATTTGGTTCTGGCGCCCTTATTTTGGATTTCCGACCCCAAGTGTCCTATATGAAAAGACTTCCCCTAGGCACCCCCTATACGCTCCCAAACGGTGGCAGGTACTATAGGAATCACCCTGTATGTCAGTATGATAAGGGGTTAATATTTCCAAGTACCTTGACCAATAATAGACGAATGAAATTAAAATAGAGACATTTCAGTTGTAGTAAGTAATTTCCAAACCTTTCGAGAGATCCTCCGGAGCGCCTCTCAACTTTCTTTCTATTGTATTTAAAAGGACGATGATTAAAAAAATCATTCCCTCAGGTCTTTCTTAAGCTTTTCTTAATTTTCTTTTAAATATATTTCGGAATTGTTACTATTACTACATTCTTCTGTGTTTTTTCAAACTATCCTCAAATACCTTTCACCTTCATTACATGTCGTCTAGAAATTTTTCCTTGAACAATTCTTCTCAATTCAGGTTCTCGTCAAGCTTTTTGAAAGTCCCTCAAGTTCTCTTCTCTCAATTTCTATTCACGTTTTCATGAAGTTTAGAGAAAAAATTAAGAAATTCTTCTTCTGTTCTCGGTCTTCCTCAGAAGATTCTTTCAAATTTCTATCAAATTATGTTTGCTACAAGTTTATCTCAAGTTCTCTTAAAGTTCTCAGGTTCCCTTCATGATTCTCCAAGCCTTGTTTAATTTCTTTTTAAGCGTCTTTTTAGGTTCATCTGAAGTGGTTTCCTATCGTTACTCTCAGATTCTTCTGCAGTTCTTTCAAGTTCCTATCAATTTCCCCTAAAATTAATTTTTCTTCTCAAGTTCTTCGAGTTTTCAATTTAATTAAGGTCCTTCAAACTTGTTCTAACGGATCGCGTTATTTTTATTTTTATGTATACCTATATAATATATAGTTAGCAGTCTTTTCAGTATTTTCCGAAGGGAAGGCGTGATATCTTCAGCATCCAACCAACTGTAGAAGGCATTTCCGGTTGACGAAGAGTTAAGAAGATGGGTATTACTACCCGGTAGCCCGTGATCCAACCACCAACATTCTGACACGCCTTTACGTATCACCTAGAATCCCAGGGTACCCCCAGCTTCGATTAGGCAACACGTCGTAGAACCTCACCCACGATTTCGCGACGTCGATTGGGATTGAGGTCACTAAAAATCCATTGCAATTAATTTCACCTGTTTGGAAAGATGCTCTACCCCACATAACTCGCAAAAAACGACGAGAAAAAAGCCCAAATTCATGTTTTAGCAAAAATGACCCTAAATTAATTAAATCTATAAAGTGACGAATGGAATGGCGAATATCGTGTTGCTCCATTTTTCCTGCCGTTGCGTGTTTATGTCAATAAGCTGGTGAAAGAATGAGATGAAATGGATATCCGTGAAGTGCTGTGATCATGTGAAGTACGTAAATACGATTTCAATGTAAAGACCTTTAGCATCTTTAAAGTACTTTGGAATTATAATTTTAATAATAGATATTATGTAGAATATATTAGTAATTTTCTAGAACCTTTGGAACTGTTGATCGTCTGTGGCAATTGGCCTTCGGAATGTACGAAATGGTTAGAAACCTTACCACCCATGTGGAACACTCGAGATTTTTTCGATTTTTCTTTGTACCTATGGCTTTTGAAGGGCCGTAAAATGTTACTTCTTTTCAAATAACTAAGGTACCTTCTTTAATACCTCTCTCTGGTTTACTAGCAGATCCGGCGGAATTCGTACCTCCTATCAGTCCCAGATGGAACGAAAGCTCAGTTTTGGCGGCGCACGCTTCAATTTTACTAAAAAAAGAAACCTTCGCGGGCATTTACCCAACCATTCTCTATAAACATAAAGTTTCATCGCAATTCGATGAACTGTTTAGGAAGGCATAAGAGACGTGCACCGCAATTGCTGGCACGAATTTTATTAAATACGTATATACAGGGTGGACCAAACCTAAAAATATTTTCAACGAAATTGCAATTGTTATACAGGGTGATTTATATCAAAGTTGCATTTTTTAAATGTAACCCCCTGTATATTATTGACAATTTCGATTCTTTGGTCAATTTTAGCGTGACTTTATGTATTACACATGATACCTAAAATGAGTCGTTTAGCCGCAATCCGTCATTTTTTCAAAAAGTAGAGGACCAGTAAAAATTGAATATCGCAGTTATCATAAAACTTAAAGGGCCGCGACTCTGTTAAGTCTGACAGATCTGTTAATGGGTTTATTTTAAGGCCTCCTAAGAAAATTATGCATATAACGGTCACAATTTTAGAAACTCTTAAATAAAACGAAAACCATAACAGATATGTATAGGCAATGTAATAATTGATTGATGTAGAATTTTTTTCGATATTTGGAGTCCAAAAAGTTAAAGCAGGTTTCATTTGAAAAAATCAACTTTTGAAGGTATGAAGTTATTAAACTTGACCATCAATTTTAAAACAGCCTATAGAAGGGCGATCAAAATCATTCGCATGCAGCATCACGTCAGTGTTGTTGATTTTGGAACACTTTTTGAAATTCAAGTCAGCGGAGTCATAGGCCCTAAAGAAAAGCAGTCAAACGTCAAAAAATCTTGAATAACTTGAAAATCTTTAATGCTAAGTGTAGGGAAATTCATGTAGATTTCCAAAATGCTATAATTAAAATAGATGGTGTTCTATTTAAAATAAGAAAGTTGCTATCCACATCCCGTAAAACCGGAAGTTAAACGATATTTTCTTTCGATAGATAAAAACTATGTTGGTATGCAAATTTTCAGATTTAAATTACTAATGGAAGTCTAAATTATACTTTTAGGTAACGGTTTGCGTGAAAGAGCCTCTATACAACCAAAGTCCCAGTTTGTTACAATGATACAAAGAATTGAAATTTGTTTGGAACAGCAGGGAACAGTTTTTCAACATGTTCTAAGCTGGAAAAATAACTTAGTTAAACAAACCGTTAATGGTTTCAGTTATTTATAATTAAATAAACAATTGATAATGGCACAATCTGCTAGACAGATAGGTAGAGCAACACCTTATATGAAATGACGTAATATAAAAACGGGCGTTTTATGAAAAAAATTAAGTTTTTGTTGTTTTTGTAATTGGACAGATCAGGCACAAAAGATGGAACTTAATTATAAAAAATACCAAAGCGTGGAAGTTTTTCAATGAATTAGTATGAACTCTTCAAAAACATTTCTTGCGGATTAAAGTACATTTAATACTTACCATTATCTTCTGCAAATAACATCTTTCAAATGGCCTCCACGGTTGCTTCTACAGGTCAAGTTTTGCATATAAGTCGACGATATATGTATATATGGTAAGTCAGGTTGGATTCCATTAATGTTATTTTCTAATTGGGTAACTTTTGCTGGTTTATTTCAGTAAACTTCGACTTGACATACCCCGAGAGAAAAAATCAAAGGGCGTCAAGTCGCAAGACCTCGATGGCCAATTCACACTGCTTCTTCAATCCGTTTTGGACCTAGTCCTGTAGAAGAACCGTGGTGACCATTTGAAAGGTTTTATTTTCACAACATACTGGTATTGAATGTATTCGCAATAAGTAAACGTTTTTGACGATAACTTTACACACAATTTCTTATTTTCAGATGAGACACACTTTTTTATTTTTGTGCATTATTCATTATGGTGTCACGTGAATATGATAGTGTTTGTTTTCAAAAATAAGACTCTGAAAACTCTGCAACATTGCACTCCGGTTCTTCAAGAAAAAAGCTCAATCCATTACGTATTTAAATTTTAGAAGTTGTCATCTTCATTCGTTGATTTAATTTAATCGTAAACCAGCCCGAAATGCCCACCTCCCCTCCCCCTTGTTGTATAGGTAATACCATTGAGTTTACACGCTATAGACAAACGGTGTAGGCTTAAAAAATGGCAACACAAATGGAGCTGGAAATATTAGTATGGAGCTGGGCCACCAAATCGTCGCAGCGCCACTCTCGTTGTTATTACGTCATTAATAATTATTGTTCCTCAGCACTGTTGGAGATCACAGTTTAGAACTCCTTTTATCTATAGGTTGGCTTTGAATAATAGAAAAATATAATGTCAAATTGAGTTAGTCAATAAATAAAAATACGATTTATTTCCATTTTGCTGTGTTATGCTGCGCTATATTCAATAAGCACTATCCATAAACTTGTTTTTAGTAAGCGCCGCACGGAAAACTACGGCAAGTGAGATAGAAATATAGATGTCGCCTTAGAAAAAGAAAGAGGTCTTATGGGTATCGCAATTTTATATACAGTTGCGCCTCTTTACTATTTTTTACTCAACGTAAGAACGCAAATTTTGCATAAAGCCAAACCTCCATGGCATCAAGACGAAAAGGAGTTTGTCATAAAGTTATATTGGTGTTACAGGTCTCCGGCAACTCACAAATTTCTGAAGGCAAAATATCGTGTTGCCCGCAATACCTATCTACCTTAAAAGAATGGATTTCGGCATCTAAATCCACTACAGATAATTCAGCATAGTTCGAACAAATTAAACTAAAAAGTTAGTATACTTTATCGTCAACAAAGAGTGGGTGTTATTTGCTTCGACGAAATGTTCATAATCGCCATCATGTTCATCATCTGCATTTTTTCAGTCGTCGTTAGAAAACTCCATCTTGGACATTGAAGTTGATAACACTAGGTACATTACTGGAAGAATGAGTTGATCTACTTTGCGATCGAAAAGTTTAATTGCACACGATGTGAACAGCTTCTCAGAAAACCACATCAAACCTTAATGACGCCAAGGAACTATTAATTTTACACAAATCCTTTGAAATTAGGAAATTAACGCTGTGCATCGGCCATATCTGTTAAATTGTTGCTAAGAACTTTAAATTTTGTAAATGGTCTTTGTAATACTATTAAGAGTACTTCAAACAAAAATGTACAGAATCAAAAATTAAACGAATGAAACGTCATAAATTTGCTTGCGTTCATGGTCGTCCCATTCGACGTCATCATTAGTACTTGCATTGCAATGTGTTTAATAAGTTGCCTATTTAACGCAAATATTCGCTACAGTAAGCGGCTGCCATTTTCCCCTATTTCTCCGTTTGTCTATAGTGTATAAAGTCAATGGTAATACGTATCAACTATCAGCAGTAATTACACACATATTTTAGCCCTTGCCATAGAGGAAATACAATCTATACCCTTGCACAACATTTCAGGTTTCAAGCAAACATACCTTCACTATTCAGCGAATTTACGGCATTATCTTTCCCAGTTCATGATATGATTGTATCTTATGATTAACCTTCAGTTACCTACCCATTCGCATTTCAAAGGGACATTGGTGGTACGATGAGTAGCGTATCGGCAATATTAGTTTTGGTGTTATTAGTTAACAGCGCTTTTGGCGCCAAGATTTTGGGAATATTTCTTGGATTCTCTTACAGTCACCAGCAACTCGGAAATAAGATTCTCTACGAACTCGCTGGGCGAGGCCATCAAGTTACCGCTATCATATCGGCTCCATTTGTCCCGAAAACGTCGATTAAAAATTACAAACCTGTGAAATTTGAGTTACCTGACTATTTAAAAGGTGAGTTGATACATTTAAACGGTAACAGTTATCGCCTCTATACCTATAGATAACAATTTGGATTTCTACAAGGTGCATGAAAGTGGAGTTCTGAGCAAAATGTACTTGATAGACGCGATGAGAGTCTTTTTTACTGAAATGGTTTTTAACCAAACCACCGTACAAGAGCTTTTAAAGTCAAACGAAAGGTTCGATATGGTTATATTGGAACAATATATTAATGAAGCATTTAAAGGGTTTTGCTACCATTATAAAGCGCACGGTGTGGTTGTCAGTACAATAGGTACTTCTAGATGGACCGATATTCAAATGGGCAACCCGATCAGCCCTGCATATGTGCCTGATGATTTATTAAGTTACTCGAGCAATATGAATTTCTACCAACGGCTAATTAATTCCCTAACCTTTCTTCTGGGAACACTACACTTTTTTCTATCTACGTTACCTAAGCTGAACGAAATAATGCAGAAGTATATACCAGGAGCGCCGCATCTAAATGAGTTGTATTATAATTCCTCTTTGATGCTTTTAAATTCTCACACCAGCATTAACCCAGCAGTACCGTTGGTACCAAATATGGTCGAAATTGGAGGTTTCCACGTGAGTTCTCCAAAGCAATTACCCAAAGATTTGCAAGAGTACTTAGACGAAGCCAAAGATGGTGCCATTTATTTCAGTATGGGCTCGAATTTGAAGGGAAAATATATGAACGAAGACGTACGAAACGCTATTTTAAAAGTGTTTTCAAAGTTAAAGCACAAAGTACTATGGAAATGGGAGGCAGACGTTCTTCCCAACCAGCCCAAAAATGTTCGCCTGGGAAAATGGTTTCCCCAGCAAGATATACTGGCACATCCCAATATAAAACTTTTCATAACGCACGGCGGTTATTTAAGCACAACTGAGGCAATCTATCATGGCGTACCGATAGTTGGTATTCCCATCTTTGGGGACCAAGAAATGAACGTGGCTACAGCGGAGATTGATGGATACGGAAAGGGCGTCAGTTACAAGACTTTAACGGAAGAATCTTTTGGAAACGCCGTACATGAAGTTTTACGTAACCCCAAGTGAGTTGGCCTAATTGCCAATGATTGGTGGTAACCTTTGACCGTAGGTACTCAGAAAATGTAAAAAGGAGGTCGGTAATAATGCACGATCAGCCGATGAAGCCCTTGGACAAAGCGATGTATTGGATCGAGTATGTTTTGCGACATAATGGGGCACCCCATTTACGCACGGCCGCCCTAAACTTGCGTTGGTTCCAAGTGCTCTGCTTGGATGTCATTCTGTTCACAGCGATAACGAACTATTTTTGCTGTCTATAAGGCAATCGTTATTTCCTGTCGAAGCCGATCAATAAAATCGAAACTGAAGAATCAAGCAAAAAGGAAAAATTAGTTGACTATTCCTCAACTAATGATGAGATAGAGAGCAATTATTTATTGTATTTATGTGTTTGTTAAACATGTGTCTTGTACAAGATAATAAAGATTCAAGTGGAGAGTAGTATCATTGAATTTATAAATTAAATGACGTAGTATCTAAGGTTCCATTCTGTCAGATCATACAACCGAATCCTTCCCGACCTTTATGGTAAAACGTTGTATCTTTGGGACTTCCTTGACCAATTGAATCCATAACTGATCTTGCGTAAGTTGCATATCAGTAATTCACAAATTAAAAAAATGTATTTTGACCCAGCTGGAGAATTTTCATTAAGTTTAATGCCAAATTTTAATTTCCTCTAGATGGACGCAAAATCTATTTGCAGTTCGATTTTGTTTTCCAGATCGGTTGAAATGCGGTGGTGGTACGGAAACTCGGGCGCCACCAAGAGATGCAAACTAGCCTTTGGACAAGTATTCTGGCAAAGGTAAAAAATGCAAACGCCGTAACTACGGTGCAGGAAACACGGCGCGACAAACTCCGATCTAAGTCAAAATTGATCGGTAGGATACCACTTTTAAAACCTCGAAAGCAGAAAACCAAAAGAAAGAAGCTCCTTCTAAATTAACCGTCTTAAAAATACGGGACCGGTGTCAAAATTCAAGTTCTGCAAGGTCACATCTGACGGATGTAATCTCGACTTAATCGGAGGCTGTATTACCTGTAACTCAATTAATTAATCACGATTAACCATACTTATGCAATTAGCTGGAGTGAAATTCCAAACTTCTGCAATCCATGGCATATTGAATTCGCAAGCCAAACGGCGGGATCATCGACATCTGTCGATATCTACGTAAACTGCATGTCCTCGACTGGTTTTAAACTTGTTTTAAGGAGACAAAGACCTGGGTGGCTGAAATTCTAAAATATTAATTTGCCTCGTCCTGTAAACTAAATGGCCAGAGCTTTCGGACGCAACAACAACAATTGAAATATGTTCTATGGAATATATAACAGGAAAGTTTGCAAACGGCGCGTTAGTTGCAGCGTTAATTACGGTAGCGGCGGCTGTAACACAACAAACTCTAGAAATTAAATTAAATACATTTAGCTTCTATCTTTACTCCAAAAAGTAGCATGCTAGACTTCAAGTTTTTTTTGTACACATCAATTCCACTCAAAATGGAATATAATAACCCAACTGCGCAACTCAAAACCAAAAATCAAAACTCCGCCAAAACCAATTGAAACTCAAGGCACATGATCGTCAAGTAACAAAGTTGGCATCAAGTGGTACGATCTACGTTGTGTTGTAAAACGAACTGGTTTATATCTGTGTGTGTGTCGCCATAAGGATAGCCGATCAATCGGTCAGCATAAATAAAACACAAGAAATGGAGGTTTTGAAATTTAATTAAAAACTTTAAATCAAAAACAATGAAATTCAATTCAGGGTTGTCCCTCTCTTAATCACACGAGATAGCCCTAGGGCCTAGGGTCTTTATTGATTACAAGAGAGGGAAAAAGAGCTATTGAAAACATTCCAGGATAAGTACTCACTTACTTTCTCATTTCTTTTCCAATTTACATTATAATAATTTTCAACTCGGCGTTCAGCCTGTACAACAACATCGGAGAATTCTTTTCCCTCGGGAATTTCATTTCTTTCGTAATTATAATTTCACACTGATATTTGAAATATTGTGCCACCATCTTTCACGGAAATTAATGTGTATACTACTACCATTGAATAAGTAATTTACTTATTCAATGCTACATGGTAACGGAGCCGGATATTCACACCAAGCGCTCACGGTACGAAGAATACACATAATATATAATTTCTGTTAATGGTTAAGAGCTCAGGCTCCAGCATTAGGACATAACATGTCTCATTATATGACAATATAGAGTTAGGGGTTTCGAGACCCATTTATTTATTTATTTATTATCCCTCTCTTGTTTTTGGGCCCTCAACAGGCATGCGCCCAATTACAGAGTGATCCGCATAATGCTATTTAGAGGTGTCTCTGCAGAAGGTCTTAACAGTATGTCAATATAACATAAACATTCAAATATTCAGGAGTCATGAAAATATCAGTACATGTGTAAAATGTAATGGAAGCAAAATACCACAGCAAACAAAATCAATAAACATATTTCGCCCTCATATAAAACAAACAAAAACCACCTATCCATCGTACATCACCAACAACTGACTTTTGAAACCAGTTCCAAAATACCCTAAACTAAACTATCTAACCACCCTATACATGAATCTCGAATGAAAGTCACCCACACCAATGGAAAATTCCCCTTCAAATTCCTATGCGCCAAAACTATAATACGCCCTAAATGATAGTAACACTTGACTAACAATAAAATCCACCCAGCAACTCGTGAAGATATGCTAACATTAGCTATTAACAGCTACATGGAAATTTTCTAACACAAACGCAATTGCACAACTTGCGTTGAGAAACAATGTATAAGCAATATTGAAATTAACAATAAAGTTAAGTTCAGCTTGATAGTTAAACAAATTAAAAAAGTAATCGTAAACGATTTACAAAAAACGCATTTCCACTTGCATTCATTTCCCAAATATTTTGCTTTGGCATTAGTTTCAGCTTTATTCGAGGTGCCTACATACAAAATTTCATTCAAATATCTTAACAACAATTTGCATCCGGACAGACAGACGGACGGACAGATAGGCGGCCAGACGGGCAATACAACACTATAAACAATCTCGAGGATCGTTAATAAACGGCAAATGTGTAAAATTATGGTACATGAAAAAATAGATTTTTTGTCATAACTTTTTTCTTAACCGGCAGAGAAAAAAATCCTTTCTTTCTGCAAGCCTCGACACCATAACGAAACAAATAGCGAAAAAAGTAGAGCAATAGCTCTTAAGATAAAGAACCAGTAGCGACCGGACGGACGGACAGACGGACGGGCGGATGTACAGACGGACGGACGGACAGACGGACGTATAGACTGACGAACAACAGGTAAACTGTCTTGAAGTGTGTTTCACTAATAATGGCCAGTATTTTAAACAACTGATGTAATTATTTTCATTGTTTTGTTTTGTTTTTTTAATTCATCACACAGACTACTTGATTAAAATAAAAAACCGTTGATATAACTGGTATCTTATTTTCAATCTTATGCTATGATAGCTGAAAGAGAATTAAAAAATCTATCAAGTAATCTAAAAATCCAATATGGCGCCTATTTAAGTTTAACAAGTTGGTAAATGTTCCTCAAAAGTAGCGTAGTTACATCAATTCTAAGTTATTAAACGTACCAAAGACAGTAACTTTTATATAACACTTTTTTTATATCTCTTATACTTTCGATGATATGACGTTCAAGGAAATGGCCCATTTTAATTTTTTACATCGAAACTATTCGACATTTTGAATTTTAAATAAGCATCTAAATCTGCAAAACATTGTGCATTTAATCAATTCTTTATCTTTAATAATAAGAAAGTTACCCAGTAAATCCTTTACTTATTTATAATCTACTTCTACAAATACTGCTTCTGTCACAGTCACGTTTCTTACATATTTTAGTGCATAAACTCTAAAAATTGTTCAAAATGGAAAAAGTAATAAACCGAAAATGGCACACAACAATTAACGGCGACACTGGTTTCTTAAATGACAGTCATGACAGAACAAAATTACTAACGAAATTCAAACCGTCAATCTAATAATGCAAAAAATACTAAAACCTTACGCGCGAAATTCAAGCGATCATCACTTCTAATGAATCACCCGGTATCTGTGCTAGTATAGGGACTTATCTGATAACCTTAGTATCAAGTTTAAGTTATGTTTCACGATAAGTCGCGTTATTTAGTCGCAATGAAAGCCACACTACACGTGCTACTACTACAAATAACATTTATTACTTTTGCACAGAGTGCCAAAATTCTTGGAATTTTTCATGGATACTCCGGTAGCCATCAACATCTTGGGAACAAGATTTTACTTGAACTGGCGGCGAGCCGCGAGAGGTCACCAAGTTACCGCAATTGTGCAGAGAAAATTTGCCCCAAAGACGGCTAATGAAAATTACCAACCCATAATGATTGAATATGATTCTTATTTGAAGAGATAAGTGCGTAACCACAAACGATCCCTTATTTCATTGTTCCCTATCGACTAATTTGTATAAAAGTGCAGAAAGGGGATTATTAGATACAATATCTAGCACAGCTGGCACTGGACTAGTTTGGACAGAACTGTTCTTCAATCAAACTAGTGTTCAAAATTTGCTGAAGTCGAATCAAGAATTTGACATGGTTATCCTAGAGGAATTCCTAAATGATGCATTCAAAGGCTTTTGTAACTTTTATACAGCACATTGTGTTTCGGTGAGTGTCGTTGGGCCATCGAGATTTACAAATTTACAAATGGGCAATCCACTTAATCCCTCTTATATGCCTGAAATACTTTCAAGATATTCGAGTGAAATGAGCTTTTTCCAACGGCTTGTTAACACCTTTTCGATTTTTTTCGGAGTTATCAACTTCTACTGGTCGATTTTGCCGAAGCACAATGAAATTTTGCAAAAAAACTTTCCAGGATCGCCTCCCATAACCGAATTATTTTACAGAACTTCATTAATGCTCCTAAATTCGCACGTGAGTGTCTCCTCGCCAGTACCTCTTGTACCCAACATGATCGAGATTGGAGGTTTCCATCTTAATACACCAAAGGAGCTACCGCGAGACTTGCAAAATTACCTAGACGAAGCCGAGAACGGCGTCATTTACTTCAGCATGGGAGGCAATTTGCGTGGCAACGATATGGAGGAAAGCAAACGGAAAGCTATCATAAAAGTATTTTCCCAGCTAAAACAGAGAGTGTTGTTGAAATGGGATAATGACACGCTTCCTCGACAACCTGATAACGTTAAACTCGGCAAATGGTTGCCTCAGCAAGATATTTTGGCGCATCCTAAGATTAAACTTTTTGTAACACACGGCGGCCTGTTGAGTGTAATTGAAGCGATTTATCATGGCGTACCAGTCGTGGGCATTCCTGTTTTTGGAGATCAAGAGATGAATATGGCAGTTGCTGAAGCAGATGGGTACGGAAAACTACTGCGATTTAGTGATTTAACCGAGGAAGCCTTTCGAGCAGCTCTCACTGAGGTTTTAAACAACGACAGGTACGTTTTATATTACTGAGAATTTGGTCAAGTTCCGTTTTTAGGTACAGGGAGAATGCAATTCGGAGGTCGAGAATAATGCACGACCAACCGATGAAGCCGTTGGATAAGGCAATGTATTGGATCGAGTATGTTTTGCGACATAATGGAGCACCTCATTTACGCACGTCCGCGTTAAACTTGCGCTGGTTCCAAGTGCTCTGCTTAGATGTCGTCCTGTTCGCAGCGATAACGATGTTTGCAACCATTTTTGCTATCTATAAGGCAATAGTTATTACATGTCGAAGGCGACCTACAAAATCGAAATTAAAGAATAAACCAAAAAAGAACAATTAGTTGAGGAATGAGATAGAGATCAGTTACATAATTGTACGTATTTAGGCGTTTCTTAAACATTTGTGTTGTACAAGACAATTATAGTGTTTTCACAATTAAAGCGTTGCCAATCATGTGGAGTGTTTAATTTTATGAAGTATCGAAGGTTTCATTCTCTCAGGTGAGGTCACATAACCAAAATATTTCTAAACAATGTGATTATGCCACCTCACTCTATGTCAGTATGGTAACACGTTGATACCCTTGGGACTTGAGATGTTAGCCTGTGTCAGAATGGCACTATCGCCCAACAATATGGGTTTACCTATAGGTATATGTGAACCTGGAGGCTGGAACCTCTCCTAGACCAGTGTACTTAGCAATTTTTTGGTTAAGTTGTATATAAAATCGAATGCATATTAATCAACTTCTAATGGGAATGTTGATAAAACCAAAAACCGTACTGTAGTTTCGGGAACCTAGATGTCAAGAAAAGCAGCGAACGGCTAACTTATTTACCTTGTTGCGTTTTTTTGTGTACCGATTTAAATTCCGTTTAAGTAACCTTAGACTTGTACCATAGATGTATTTGGCTCAGAGTAAGAAATAAAGATAGAGATGCCTTGATGCTTATCTATGCGTGCCATCATCTCGTTTGTTTACTAACATTGCAGGAGGATAAGTTGTCACATTTCACGAGATAGTTTTTAAGGGAATATTAATAATACATGCATCTCGAGTAATCTAAATGGATTTTTAGATGCTTATAAGAGTTCAGTAACCCAAACAATTTTAACTTACAATTAAACGGCGTAACAAGAAAAGTTATGGTGACTAGTGCACCACAACGGCAACGCTGTAACTTTGTTTTCCGTTGAGAGGTATTTTGTTTATTTCGTTAAAACGTGATTCCTTAATTTTTAGGCGTTTTTATAGTGGAGGACTTATTCGATTGTGGTGTATTAATTTATGGGAGCCCTTTGAAATGGGGAAAAAGCTGTATTATTTGTGGAATTATTGAATTACCTAACATAACCTTTTATCCGTATGTGTTTTGAAGTCATAGACGTGTATACGGGAATTTTCGCATTTTAATGTATTTAGATTTCCTTCTAAGTTTCCACTTTGAAGTATCACCATACCAAGGTCAATAGGGACCTTTCAAACACATACAGCTTTTGGTCATAAATATTTAGTGATACGTTATTACGTTTGCACATGTAAACAAAACATAAACTTTGTTGCCCATAAAAATAAATAAACCTTACGCCACTGACTAATGTTTACTTTCTACCTCTCAACGGTCAAATTGACTGAGATGTTGGTTCAAAACAAACGTTCACGTTGTTATAGCGTACGCGTACTCTATCTTTATTTCTTACTCTGAGCATTGAATATCCAACTCCTCAGAATGCTTATTACAATAGTAATATATGGCAAAGATCATGTAGTATGATCTTTGTATATGGGAAATTATTTTTTAATGAGTTAAAGAACCTGTAGATGGCATAGTAATGCAAAATTAGCATAATCATAGCTAGGGGGAAAACCAAATATATAGTGGGTTTAAGTTGTGGAATTTCCCAACAAATCAAAAGCTATTACTACCTACCGACAGAGTGCAATGTCGGCAACTGCGATCTTTGCATCGATTTTTTACACAAAGCGCGAGTTTTGTAACGTCCCTAATTATTTTGCCGATTATTCTGCACGATTTACGTTTCAAAATTTGAAATGAATTAATTGCAAAAGTAGGAATATTTCCGTTTAAAGAATTAATTTTCATTTCTTAGTATAATTAGAATTACTCCGAACGCGTATCCAAATAAATCGAGAGGCCTTGAACTATATTTTAATAAAGGCATCATTCCGTCACACATGTCTTGAGCACGTTAAACAATGGCCATCCATTCATAATTTAATTTGTAAACGTAAAGGTGTTATCGCAGAGAATTCTTCACTAAGGTCACAGATAAAATTGGGTATTTTATCTGTGCTACGCTAGATTCAATCAAGTTTAATTTATTTTGAAACATTACAATTTTTTAGTAATAAATATTGTGTTTATTTTACCCACAGGGATTTAATTAAATTGTTGTTTCATTGTCCCAAGATTGGACGGTTTTTTTTGGTAAATTGATTTTTTTAACTCTGGCATTCAGTGTTATTCAGGCGACCATTGTTATCCCTACCAACTTGTAATTTAAACAAGCCTTGTAATTTGCGCAAGTCTTGTTAACCAGTGTTATTCAAGCGACCATTGTTATTCTTACCAACTTGTAATGTAAACAAGCCTTGTAATTTGCGCAAGTCTTGTTAACATTCAGCAATTCAGATGACCATACAAGCAACAAGACTTGTTTTAACTCTTGTAAAATGTACTTGTTAACTAACGCGGTTGCAATTGCTGGCGTTAAGTCCAACAAGAGTGGTTGAGAAATCTATTTTAATAAGATCGTTCTATATGTTCAGTTGGATTTCAACATAGTTTTTGCGAATTCGACATTTATTCTGAAAAAAAGAGATGGACCAGGACTATTTACTGCTTTTGCACATGTTACAACAAGCAGATGAGAGGTAAGTCTCAAAATTAATTAATTTTTTAAATGTCAAATTGGATTATCATTAATCATTTTAGATACCAAGTTAATTTACGAAGACGGACACTCCGTGATGCAAGTAACCCCATGACGATGCCGGAAAGTACGTTCATGTCAGTGTTCAGACTATCTAGGGAATTGGCTCAGGATGTTATAGATGAACTTAGCCCTCATCTTCGGCAGGAAAGAGGACCAACACCAATACCAATTTACCTTAGGATTCTTGTGGCGCTGCACTTTTATGGACAGGGTAGTTACCAAAAAGGTGTTGGTAAGGACTACCACCTAGCCATGTCGCAGTCATCAGTCAGCAGGTGCATCGCAGAAGTCACTGATGCAATAAACGAGGTAATGGTAGACAGGGTGAACTTCCCAACAACATTTCAACAAAAAAATGCTGAAAAACTGAAGTTTGCCCAAATTTTACATGGATTTCCGGGGATAATAGGAGCCATAGATTGTACGCATGTTGCAATTCAGTCGCCACCTGTTCATCATCCAGAATACCCAGCAATTGTATTCTACAACCGGAAGGGTTACTATAGTATCAACACACAAATAATTTGTAGTGCCGATTTAAAAATTTTGAATGTTAATGCACGGTTTCCCGGGTCTGTGCATGATTCGGCCATTTGGACAACTTCAGCCATATATCAACATTTAAGAGACGCATACAATAATGGAGATACAGGATCGTGGTTGATAGGTGACTCTGGCTATCCCTTACAACCGTGGCTCATGACCCCATTAGGTGGACAGGGTTTAACACCTCAAGAGCAACGGTACAACGTAATACACAAAAGGTGCCGTAATGTTATAGAAAGGCTAAATGGTGTGTTAAAAGGAAGGTTTAGATGCCTACTGCGACACCGTACACTCCATTATTCCCCTCTACGAGCTGCAAAAATTATCAACGCTTGTTGTATTTTACATAACTTATGTATTGAAAGACGGCTAGAAAATAATGAGGAATGGCCTAACGAAGAGGACGAAATTGTTGAAGATAATTTCAATAACATACCACAACAGGAACAAGGCAATGTTCTTCATATAGGAAGAATAACTCGAAGGCGAATTATTGATAATTATATAAATTAATAATCATGTACATAATACGTTGTAAAACCTTTATTCTTGAAAATTACATTTAATAGTCGTTTCAATTCTATATTTACATTTTTCAAAGCGTTTGTAATCTCAGTGGTGTTTTTAATTAGGGCAAGCTGTCCTTTTTGTAAAATGTGAAAACATGTACGGTGGAGTTTTCTCATTCGAATCCCTTAAATAATTTGTTTGAATGGTTGTAAGTATAAAAAAGAAAAATACTTACTGCTTCTGGTAGACTTTTGGTTGTTTATTAGACCAGATCTAATTACCAAACCTTTTGTCAACCCCAACTCTTTAATTGGCATTCCCGTAACTACAATTTTAGTTAACACAGATATTAATTGTAGCTCTAAATCTGTTAATACAATTGGTATTGGAAGTCCACCGCCAGTTTGGAGTTGAGCCAAATATATGTTGCGTGCCTTTTTTTTAACATTGTTTGTCCAATCAGCAAACACCTGTAAAATGTTGATAGAGAAATTTCTATTGGTGGACTAATCTCATACCTTCTTCCATTCGCTCATTTTTCTAGCTGTCCTCTGTAAACTATTTAATTGGTCCACTAGCTTATGCCATTCTTCTTCGGCTTCCTTCTTCTCTCTCAAAAACTGAAGATAGTAACTATATTGCTCCACTGTAGTTTTAGTAGATCTCTTTTCTATAATTGAGAAATGTAAAATAAATAAATATAGCAATCAGTATACACATTTTATTATCGAATAAACACGATAACAAACACTATTTATTTTCAATCGCAGTTGCAACACTGCGAATTGCATCTGCAATGTCGTGCAATGCATTTGCAACCAGTGTCAATGAAGACTGATGTGCTGCCTGTGATGAATGAAATTCTTTTAACAAGGAGCCAGCATCATTCGCTTTAGATCGGCGTAATTCTGTTAACGATATAATTACACAAATTAAATGTATGATTCATAACTTACTAGGGGTTTTATCCACTTTCTTAGGGGTATCTTTCTCGGAAGACACAGTTTCCCAGTTAGATGTTGCTCCTTTGGGCGAAGGTGTGTTTTTTTGGGGGGGTGGTGTTCGAGACGGTGTACCTTCCCATGTCATAATAGATGTTGGATCATCGGATTGTGCTATTTCCAATTCTAACACAACGTTATCACCTTCGAGATTGATTTCTTTTTCCTAAAATGTCATGAGATTGACATTACAATTAATACAAAGCCAACCAATTGAAAATATTGGTGTAGGTACTCGAAATAATTTCAATCATGGCCGTTTGCACCGACAAATTTAAGCAGAGCTTAGCTTAAAATCCATGGCAACGATCATTGAGACAACGGTTTCCATGGATTTTAAGCTAAGCTCGCCCATCAGATTTATACCTGCACTAAAATATCCTGTGCCCCCAATTCTGTGATCGAAGAAACACCTACAATCACTACAGGCTTCATCACATTGATTAGTTGCCTTTCTAATTCTTTCAGAGGTTTTTTCTCCCTGGCTTTTTTCTTCGTGGTGGATTTCCATTCGTTAAACGCCTGAAATATACAAATTCGAATTACGACCCAAATACATAATAAACATAGGTATAAACCACTTTTATTTGTTGAATACAAACCTTCCTCCAATTGTCAACAGTTCGTGAAGGTCCTGTCCCAACGTTGTTTAATTGCACAACCATTTCGTCCCACAATTCTTTAATGACGTTAGGTGACATCCCCGGTGATAATTTACCCGTTATTAAGACATCGTGTTTTCGTATGTACTCCAAATATATTTCATATTGTTCACAACTCGTTTTAGGACCTCTCTTCGTAGTCATTACTAGCAAAATATAAAATTATAACTTATAAATTAACATTTTAATACTAAAATATAAAGCATTTGTACTTACCTAAAGTACAGCAAGCCTACTCAGAAATAAATAATCAGAAAATTTACAACACTAGGTACATAAAAATTGTCAAAACATTACACCTAACCTATAACTGGAACACAAATAATGACCGGTTACCACATTTTTGTTATCAGCGGCAACTTCATGCTTGTCACACTAACAAGATTGTAATTTTTCAAATTGTAGGATAACAAGTGATCATCTGAATATGAAAAGTTAACAATGTTGTTAAGGCAATTGGTAGCGCTCTTGTAATCTTTACAAGACTGGTTAAAATAACAATGGTTACCAGAATAACACGTATTGTGGGTTGTTCTTTACAAAGTTGCAAGAGCACTCATTGCTGTTAACAAACATAAACAAAAGACCAGTTGTTATTTTAAATCCATTAATTTGCTAAACTGCAACAACATACTTGTGCTCGTTTACAATTACGCTGCAAGCTCAAAGCTTAATGTGCAGAATGTGCTTTACCGTCGGATTATGAGGTTTTCTTGTTTATGTTGAACTTTCCTTAAAAGCGCTAACTGAATATTAATTACCTATCGCAGATATGGGCTGTGTTTGTAAACAAATAACGTCAGGCCTGTACGTTTTCGAATATTAATCATCCATTTACACTAACTTTAAGAAACGTTGAAACTACTTGCCAACAATACTTATATTTATTCAAGCTCAAACATTGTCAACTTCAAAATTAAATTATAAAATCCATTTTGAATCGCACATTTATTTATCACTTGCTAAAATTCATAATAGAAAACCATTTGTACGCCACGGTGCCGCCATGTTTTTCTCTAGGCATTTTTCATACACTAAGCGTTTTTCAAAAATATACTGTATAGAACGACATAACTCTGCATTTTTATATCCCTACATAGGGCTCAATGCAAAAATATTCTTAAATTAGAAACAACTCAGATCTAAAGGGTATTTCACATTTCATTACGCGTAATGAATTAGAAAAAGTTGATTTTCTTCAAAATTAGACTACCTTATTTCAGCTTTTTAGAAAGTTCCCCATTTAAAGCGCCCACTGAAAGTAAGGGGGAAATGAAGTGTCTGGTATTTGAAATGCACAGAATTCACCGTTTTGCATAATGAATGCCCCTGATTAAATTCGATCTAACATTTTCACACATTTTTTCTTTCAATTTAATAGAACATTGCGTGCAAAGCGACCTTCTAAAATCATAAATAAATGCAGAACGAACGAATTTAAAGTCTTAGCAAAAAACGCGTTTCCCATTTTTCTCAATTTCTCCAGAATCTCTTGAGCTGCGTATATGATATATCTGTTGTTGAAAGTTAAACACAGTTGTGACGTGACGATCCTTTGACTGAAGCTTTTCACTTCAAAAGCACAAGTTGGCAATTTACATGGTTGCTACAAATCAATTTTGCATTTCGTAGGTTAGTCGTTTGCGAAGAATCGACAATCGGTGGTAGAATTGCAAACTGCAGCATGAGCTTTTTCGAAATTAATCTGTCACGTTTAATATTTATGAAGATCTTTTCGTAGTAATAGGTGTTATCTAGTCGATATTTATAATTCAGTAATCTTGCTCCAAATTAAGCTTCACTTTCCGCATAATACAATTAAATTAAGGATTTGAAAACGGCCGCTTTCATTTGCTGTTTACCTACGGAATTAAATGAATTCTTCGATCGTATATGTAGAACTTAAATGCGGCCCTAATCGTAAATAGTGCACATCTGTGGTTAGTGCTAAATGTTGTATTTAAATTCAACGGTGAGGGTCCCTTAAGGGTCAGCACGAAACGATGTCGGAAATATGTTTCCCGTGGGAGCCAAAAACGTGCTAAGAATCCCTATATAAAGGGCCCAATGCAAATATATTTTTAAATTAGAAACACCTCAGATTCTAAAGGGTATTTCACGTTTCATTGCGACGAGTACGCATAATGAATTAGAAAAAGTTCATATCTTCAAAATTAGATTACATTATTATTTCAGCTTTTGGAAAGTTTCCCCATTTAAAGCGACGCCCATTTCAAGTAAAGGGGAAATGAAGTGTCTGGTATTTTAAATGCACAGAGTTAACATTTCAGAAAGCGCCGTTTTTATAATGGATACCTGTATCTACCCTAATACTTACTACGTCTTCTGATGGTCGTACTTCAATTACATTACGCGTTAAAGATTCGCAAGAAATCATGTCGTGTTTAAATTGTTCTTTACGTGGATATAATTTGCGTTTATTTCGCTCTATTCGGATAAAAGGCAGAAAGCGTATAGTCTAATGCGCTAAGCGATGCTTCTCCATTATAAAGCAACTCTTTACTTCCACTAAGGTGTTATCCCATCGAACTAATGCAAGTTTCATTACTGTACGTCCAATTGACAAATAGAGGAATCATAAAGGCGCGGTGCTGTATTCGTGTGACTAATTTCAACCCTATTTTGGAGGACTTTTACCCTGCCTCGTGAGCAGATGAACTATAAATACTAAATTTAAAGGAAAGTATACTTTCTTCAACTTTATAGTCGTTCTGATTTAGTAGTCACCGCCTTTAATGGTATTCATTATTTGTCGTGACAACTCACACTGCATTTATTTCTAAAAACACAATTTTCGTACTCGATTCAATTGCACCTCCAATAGGCAACTTTATGTAAAAGCTCCCCAGCATTACCTTAAAAAGTCACTATCCAAGTAAATGGCCCAAAGTTTTAATATTTAAGAATTGATCTGGATGCAACCTAGTATAAAAAACTGAGGATGTAAAATTGAGAATATGAATCGTTTTACGATTTATTTATTTGCAAAAAAATCTTTTAACAATGCAAAAATTCAACATGGCGCCTTTCTGATCAAAATGAAAAACTTGTATAAGATGCAGATGTTTCATTAAATTATTATTATTCTTAACTTTTACTTTGACCCGATTTTTCATATCTTCGAAACAGCGTTTGCATGAGCGAATAATACTTCAAAGCCATGCCCATTTAACAAAATTTCTATATTAAATAATATAATGTGTAATAATGAAGTTACTCATGTAACCCCACCTAATATAGCACACCCTGTATGCGTAATAATTGACCATTTTGCAAAACTTACGCAATGTTGAAGATCAATAGGTATAGAAAATTCGTACCAGAAAATTCAAATTCAAAAATTTGCCTCTAGAATATTTTCTCCAAAGAAAATCTGCCCTCACG